AAAATTTATCGAACATTTCTTATCGCTCTATCAAGGAAAAGTTATATTGCGATAATTGTCATTATCGTTTTATCGCTCAGCCCTAGTACTGCATAAAATTGAAGGTTCTAAACAGCTAGCGTGAGAGTGTGTGTCGCAGCATGGGTAGGCGGGTGGAGCTGGTCTCTGGATCAGTACTGATAGTCACCTCTGGATCAGCAGGGAAAAGCTCAGTTGAGGTGCTGAAAGAGGAATAACTTGTACTTAAAAGCTGTTTTGACTGGAAATGAAGTAAATGAAATGGTGGTCTTGAGTATGCAGCCACTGGCTCCCAGGCAGATTTAAAAGTCTCTTCAGTGACAGGCTGTTTGTGACTGTGAGTCGAAGTGAAATACACTCCTAGCCCTTACCCTAGTCTTCCATTCCTTGTTTGGAAGTTCATTTGAAACTGTTGGAGAAAGTGTATGTGTGTGCATGTGTTTGTCTCAGCGTCAGTGCGTGTGCGTGTGCGTGCGTGTGTGTGTATGTGTGTGTGTGTGTGTGTATGTGTGTGTGTATATATATGTTGGAGTGTGAACGTGTGAACAGATTAGATGATTTGTTATTTGGCAGGATGGACTGAAAATGAAACTGTTCACACCTCTCGCTCCCCCTCCTTTTTTTTCTCTCTTCCTCCCTCTCTCCTCTCTGTCTTCTGGGAACGCATTAACTGCGATTTTCTCCAGAGAGCCATGCAGATGAGATGGAATCACAACACACACACACGCAGGAATTCTCAGCAGACTTATCAGTTGATTAACCTCGTGTATACTTTGCTAATCTACTGATTGCTCATGCCTCAGTTATAATAGCTATGCTAACTACCCCAAGTCCCTTAATTCTCTAGGAGTAGAGAGCTAAAAACCTCTGTTTTTCTGTCTGCGTGTCTCTCACATTCACACGGTTCACTCCCAAGTGGGTTACCATGGTGACGAGTTGTGCCCTGCATGGTCATAATGGGGAACCTGACACACCAGTTACCTGAATTTTTGTGTGTCAGGATATGAATGTGCAACTCTAGTGTGGGCCACACACTGGCCATCCACTTTATTAAAAACAACTACCTTGCACTTCCACTCACTGGCCGCTTCGTGAGCTCCACTCACCTTATTTAGTGTCCAGTACATATAAAATTTTGAAAATAACACTTTCTGAATTAAAAATAATTATTGCCATCAGAAGTACACATGCTAATGCAATATATGATTAATGCCACAATTTTTTTGACCCTGTTAACAAATTTTCCTGATTTTGACCTTGAGCTAGTTAGCCTGTGGTTCACATACAACCTTTAAATTTTAAGTGTCACTGAAGGGTCTCTTGATGAAAACTGTTATTTCTAGCCATTGCAAGGTAGTGAATTTGTTTATCACTAATGTACATAAAGTCTGAAGTATCATTGGCAAGCAACAGTACAGTGCTTGAGGGAGAACTATGGCTATATCTACACACAGACTAACAAAAGCAATAGCAAAATTAAAACGCTACTGTTTCCCTTGAAACAATGCATTAAGTTGTATGAGGCTTTTTATAACATGCAGCCACTGTTGCTCTCCACGTTGGTGATAAAAATCGGAATCTGCATTCACATGATTTTCATGTTCACATGTTCAGATTCATGTGAACTTTGTATGCATGTGATGAAAATAATATAATAAGATTACTGAAAGTAATTACATTCTAATTTTGTCCACTTGTTTGCAATTTATCACAATGAACTATACACAAGAATCACGTTATTTTAATTGTTTTACAGCTAAAAGTAATACTTATGTATAAGTCATTGTTGAAATAATAAATAGGTTGTCTGCTGATCTTTGAAACAAAATGAAAAACCGAAATATGCTAAGTCAAAGTTGCCTTCTAATTTAACATAATTGGTTTCTGCTTGTAAAAAATTGAAGTATACTCTCTGTCCAGAAGTTTGTAGGTTCCTGCTCATCCAGTATTCTTTTTTCTGAAATTAAGTGTGGTTTAATAGGTTAATACAAAGTCCCCCCCCGCCCCCCTTTGCTGCGGTAACAGCCTCTATTCTTCTAAGAAGGCTTTACGCTAGATGTTGGAACATTGCTGTGACCATTTTTTGCATTCGGCCACAAGAGCATTAGTGAGGTCAGGTACTGATGATGGATGATTACTTTTGTATCTTGAATGACACTTCAGCTCACCCTGAAGGTGTTCAGTTGAGAACCATCACTCTAGAGAATGCACTTCCACTACTCCACACCCTAGTTGTGGGCGGGTTTCTGACCTCAGGAGTTGGAGTGGGCTGTTCTCATGATAGTGGTATGGTAGTATGTGTGGTGCTGGTACAAGTGTATCAGGCACAGCAGTGTTGCTGGAGTTTTTACACAGTCAGTTGTAGGTTGAGAGTGGTCCACCACCCAAAATATCCAGACAAGAGTGGCTCTGTGCTCCACTGGCTACTGATAAAAGGCTACAGGATGAGTAAAACAAATTGAGCACAGTAACAGACGAGCTACAGTCTCTAAATGTACAGTTGTTTCAGTTGAGTTGGTTGCGAGTGTATATATGTAGCTAGCCTGATACTGTTTAAGACAACTATGACATGTATTTAGGTGACTTTTTTATTAGGAGTATGGCTGAAGAAGGTAGGAGTGTGGTTAGAGTTAACTCACCGAACTATATTCATTTATTTGTTAACTTACCATACCTTATAAAGTTAAGTCAAGTGTGTTTTTTATTTTTTTGTCATATGTACAGTATACCAGTGACATTTGTACATTGAAATGCTTGTGGTGAGGCTTAGGTGATCAATTTCTAAAGCTGTATAACACAGTATATACAGGGGGGTCTTGGCACTAGGCTGAGGAAAGCAGCTGCTGAAGTGTATGTGTTGGTGTTAAATAACCTATTCTAAAGTATTTATCCATTTTAAAAATGGGTATTATTTCCGATTGTATCAGTTATTTTCATTAATCTCAGTCTAGCCTCTCCACCTGGTCATGATGCATGTGATGTGGTGACACAACTATGTGAATACAGTGTGTTATGACCAAGGCAATTATGTGATAATCCTTCTGTGTGATTTTCTGCATGTAAAGAGGGAAGGTGTAATAAAGTTACACAAGTATAGCAAATAAAGGACTGTTGAGTTTAGGTGTTTCACCCATTGTTACCAGGTGGATAAAATTAAGCACATAGCCTTGTCTCGATAGACAAACACTGGCAGTAGAATGGGTCGTACTGATGAGCTCAGTGACTTTAAACTTGCCACCGTCATAGGATGCCACTTCTGCCACAAGTCAGTTGATGAAATTTCTGTCCTGCTAGATCTGCCCCAGTCAACTGTAAGTGCAATTATTGTGAAATGGAAGCACCTTCAGCCGAGTGCCTGTTCTCTGTTAAATCACTCACTAAATTGCTGTTAAGTCATTCACAAATTGCCTCTGGAAGCAATATCAGCAAAATAACTGTGCATCATGCACTTCACGAAATGGGTTTCCATGGCTGAGGAGCTACACACAAGCCTAGGATCCAAATACACAACGGGGAGAGGTGTAAAGCACGCTGCCACTGGACTCTGGAGCAGTGGAAATGCATTCTGTGAAGTGATGAATCACAGTTCTCTATCTAACAGTCCTATGGATGAGTCTGGGTTTGGCAAATGCTAGGAGAACGTTACCTGCCTGACTGCATTGTGCAACTGTAAAGTTTGGTGGAGGAGGGATAATGCTATGGGGTTGTTTTTCAGGGGTTGCCGGAGGCCCCGTAGTTCCAGGGAAGGGAAATCTTAATGCTTCAGCATACCAAGACATTTTGGAAAATTGCATGCTTCCAACTTTGTGGGAACAGTTTGGGGAAGAACCTTTTCCATTCCAACATGACTGTGTCCCAGTGCACGAAGTAAGGTCCATGAAGGAATGGCTGGGTGAGTTTGGTGTGGAAGAACTTGACTGGCCCGCACAGAGCCCTGACCTCAACTGCACTGAACACCTTTGGGATTGTTTTTCCAACATCAGTGTCTGACCTCACAAATACTCTTCTGGATGAATGGGCACAAATATCTGCAGACACACTCCAAAATCTTGTAGAAAGCTTCCCAGATAAGTGGAAGTTGTTATAGCTGCAAAGGAGGAACCAACTGCATATTATTGCTTATGGATTTAGAATGAAAGCTCCTGTGGGTGTAATGTGTAATATATATATACGTGTGTGTGTATGCGTGTGTGTGTGTGTATATATATATATATATATATATATATATATATATATATATATATATATATATATATATACATATACATACACACACATATACATGTATACACACATACTGAGGTGTAACATACAAATATAGAACTGTAAATAAATATGCACAAATGTACTGACCATGTATATTCTTAGTAATGTTTATAACCAGCATAAAGTGGCAAGTGACAACCGAAAACTGTTGGCAAGTGAAAAATTGTCCATAAAGTGACGAATGAAGAGAAAAACAGTAATAATGTAATTGTATGTAAGTGCAATATTATTGAAGACCAAAACTGAGTCTGTAGCTGTAACAGTGAATGACATACCGGCAGTTTTGAAAATGAGCTACTGTTAGAAAAAACATGCTCACTAGTGAAGAATAATTATGAATAAGAGCTACCAAAAGCTATAACATTAGGAAGTGTTGCACTGCAGTTTTATAAGTAATCTGGGTCCTTTGGACACAAAGAAGATGAGAATTTAATCAGGATTATGTATGGAAAATGAGCTAGCATTGGAACATTAGCAGTTGTGTGGCTGTGTTTCAAAGTAATGAAGTGGATTGTGGGTGGAATGGTCCTTTGAGACTTTTCTCACGCAAGATGATGTGTAAAGATCAGTGTGTCAATGATTAAATTAATGTTTTAATCAAATTATCACATTATGTATATTCACACCTCGTATCTCTCTCTCTCTCTCTCTCTCTCTCTCTCTCTCTCTCTCTCTCTCTCTCTCTCTCTCTCTCTCTCTCTCTCTCTCTCTCTCAGAGGTGGCGGTGTCGTCGTTGCTGTGTCTGTCCTCTGTAAGAGAGTTACCTGTGCAGGTGTGCGAGTTATATCAGCAGGGTTTTATACTGGCTGCTGTTCATCCGTTTGTTCACTCGTGCGGCCCTGCCAGAGCAAACCTACAGAGGCAGCTACACCGTGCTGTGCTCATCAGAGAGACAAACAGGTGCACACCCTCACATGCACATTGGTTTTTGCATAATATCAGGATATGTGGTTATAGACCACTGTAGTTGTGCGTCATTCTGTAGTCCTCGTTATGCCTGTATTGGGACCTCCGGGTCTAAGCTCTATTTCTCTGTGGCCAGAATGAATAGGGTTTTCGAAAAATCGCCTCTATCGCACGCTGTGTTAAATAAAAATGTTCAGAACCCGATACGGTTTGTCCTGTGTACATTTTTCTCCCGAATACCACTGGATCCTCCGAATTACAAGGTTGTTATTGTTATTAATACTAATATTGCTACACGCGAGCTAAAGCTACTGCGCATCAATTTTATGTCACTAAGCTACACAAAGCTAAGGCGGGCTGTGGCGGTGCTCTGACAAGTTGTGCTACCGTATCGAAATGTTATACCGTAGGGCATTTTTACGGGTATACCCGTAAATAAAACCTCTAGATAGGATATTTTGATACGCTAAAACTCCTTATACTACCCATGTTAAAACTACGAGGCTGAATTAAGCTTCTTTTTTTGCAAGCTTGTTGTTTGAATGTTCCCGTTCCACTTTAAATGGTGCAGCAGCTGTTACTAGCTAGCTATCACAAACATTAGCAAACGAGACAAAATACTGACCTGTCTTTTCTGTGAAACAGCAAAAATAAGTTAATGTTACTCAGCTGTTTAGCGGAAATAGAGAAACATCCTCATGTCATTCCTTTCAACCCTCCATGAAGCTGAAGTTAGCTTCTTTTTCGCCAGCTGCTTGTTCAAATTTTCCCATTCCACCTTAAATGGCGCAGCAGTGAACGTGACTGCTGCGCCATTTAAGGTGGAACGGGAAAAGTTGAACAAAAAGCTGGCGAATGTCCTGAGAAAATGTCCTCAGAAAAATGTTACCAGCATTAAAATAATAATTAGGATATTTTGAGAGCCGAAATCAGTTCATCAGGGGTGAGCAGTCATATTAAGTTGAGTCTATACTGAATTAGCCTGAGTGCAGGTACGTTTGTAACTAGATCTTTTCAAATCAAGCTAAAAGGAAAGATCTATCATGTTTCAGTGAGCATCAGATAAAGAGCAGGGAAACCTGCTGATTTTGTTCTGACTTCTTTTCATCTGCCCTCAGTCTGTAAATGGAAATGTACACTGACAAAACCTGCTTAAGGAGACTGCCAGTCTAATGATGTGAATTCAGTGCACAGCAGCATTAGCTCACATGTAGCAATATTCATATTTCAACTCTTTAACGACCTCGTAATTCGGAGGATCCAGTGGTATTCGGGAGAAGAATGTTCATAGGACAAAACGTATTGGGTTCTGAACATTTTTATCTAACACGGGGCGATAGAGGCAATTTTTCGAAAACCCTATTCATTCTGTCCCTAAAGAAATGGAACTTAGACCCGGAGTTCCCAATATGGGCATAAGAACATGGCGCCGACTACAAAATGACGACACGACTACAGTGGTCTATACATGTCCAAACTATGTCCAAAAATACCCATACACCCCTTCTGGTTAATGAAATTATTTACTTTAAGGTGCATGCAATGCTGACAAAGCTTTTATAATCATATAAAGCTTTAACCAATGTAATTGTTTGCTTTGGAGCAGCTGCACATGAGCCTAAGGCATTGGTGTCCAATATTATCCACAACTTACTGGTGTTTCTGCAGGATTTCATCCCAACAAAGCACACCTGATCAGTTGTTAGAAGACTGGGACCAACTGATTAAACAAGTATAATAAAGGGTGCCTCTGCTTGTTTGGAATAAAAACCTGAAGCCACATCGGCCCTTTGCGGGCAAGATGGGACACCCCTGACCTAAGGTCACCATTCCCTATGCCAGCTAGAATGGTATAGAGCCCACCAGCATTGGGTTGTAAAGCAGTGGAACTGTGTTAATAAGTGATGGTGCTCAATCCAATACCTTTGGGATGAGTTGCAGTGGTGTTTGTGATCCAGAACTGATCATCCAACATCAGTACCAGACATCACCAGTGCTTCTGTGGCTGAAGGCAATTAAATCCTCACAGCAATGTTTGCAAATTTAATATAAAGCCTTCCCAGAAGGGTCGAGGCTGTTACTGCAGTAAAAGAGCACAAAATCCCTAATCTTGATTTTAGGAGAAACGCTGGATGAACAGGTGTCTACAAACCTTTGGACTTCTGATGTGCATTACATACAGTCCTGTGCAAAGGTCTAGGCATAAGTACATTATCCAGCGCCATTTATCTTGGCAGTAAGTGTTTATGCTTGTAAAACCAAATATATTATTATATAAATGCAAATAAACATAAGTACAATCAAAAGTATCTATTGTTTTTTTGTTTTTTTTTTTTACCAGAAAAAGTAGTTGATGTCTTGAGAGCTAGTTCAAAGAACAGAGTTTGGTTCCAGGTTTCTCCTCGATGCCCCCTGACATTGACCAAATTGGATTTGTTAAATTGCATCACCAACACACTTGACTGAATGTAAGGAAGCACTGATTAACCAAACCAGGTGTTGGATGATGACTACAAATAATACTGGGCTTCCTCAAGGAGAGGTTTGGGAATGGTTAAACAAGCACGTTGACAAACAAAATCATTGCTTATTCTAGTAATATTATTTGTATTTATTCTAATATTAGCGTTTTCACAAATGTTCACTGCTCAGATAAATAGCTTTTAAATCTAATATTCTCAGGTGCCTAAAACTATTGCACAAGTCAGTAATTTAACTAACTACCTACATGAAATAAAAATCTCCTAAGCCTAACCTTAAAGTTAACCCTAATCTCAGCTCAGTAACCAGAAAAGTGTTTTAATCCTTTTAGTTTAAAAATAATTACGTTACATGTTTTCTGAGAAACAAAAACAAACAAACGCGTGTACATACACAGTCACATTTACTTTCTTAAAGTACAATGAACACTTGAACACAGTGGTCACGCAAAAAACAATTGAACAGTTGTCACCTTTAATGCCACCAAAATCAAGAGAGGGAAAGTATTTTTTTTTTTTTCATTTCCTTTGCCTCTCTGTCTTGAGAAGCTGTTTTTTGTTAGTATTTTGTCTGTTTTGTTTAAAAATTAACTACTGTTGTTTAGGAAGTTGTAATCAGATTGCATCAGTTTCATTAACAACATCAACATTGTAATTTCATTAACAACTGTAATCATGATAGTTGTAATATCATACGTTATTTATTTATTCATTCATTTTGCTTATTTTACAGCTGTTCAGAGAATGGCGTGCTGAAATGCGTGCGACCTCGTCTGGAGACAGACGTCTGTTTCTCTGGGCTTCAAGCACCTGACCCGGAAGTGATTCAGGGCTATGTGAAAAAGGTCAGGTCTGCCGTGTGTCTTTTTCTTTCTGTCATATTTTTGACCTGGTGCTCGTTTTCTTTTTCAGTTCACATGCAAAGCCAGTTCATTATGCCTTACATGCAGTTGGAACAGTGCAGATAAAATAATGAAGCACAGGGGACTAGAGAAAGTGACTGACACCACACATTCACTGTCTGTGACCGCCATTATTCCATGACCTTTCTGCCATTTTGGTAATGACATTTATATAGAGATAAGCTGTGTTTGACTATGTGTGGTTGCATGTGAGGATGTTTAAGCCATGTGACATTTACTGATGGTTTAAGTCTGTGTGTATGTGTGTTTGTGTGTGTGTGTGTGTATTTGGGGAGAGGACTGTGAGAGTGTGTACCAGGAAGATAATATTAAAAAACGGTTTGATTACCCTTTTCTCGCATTTCTGCAGACGTTCTAGCTAAAGAGTTTGCGGAATGCCAGCTGGTGATTAACTAGAGATACTGCAGTTAACTGCAGATACATGAGTGTTTGTATTTTGTCGAGACATAATGGAGAGTAATATGTTTATGTCCAACTGAATGATAATTTTTAAAGTCCATTTTAGTTTAACTCCTGCTGATTCTCCTGCAGAGTTTTATTGCAGCTCTAATCATATCTGTGTGATTTCCACATTGAGATTCTTCTGAGCTGCATAAATGTAGAGAATGTTTTTTCACTTTAACATGTTAGATTAAGGTTGTTTTTACACAGAATTTGTTTACTGTCCACAGCAGGGTTTAGTTTTTGTGACATTGGCCTTTATTCATCAGAGTTATTTTTGTACATGGAGACAAGCAGAGATTTTAGCGCAAATGAGGAATCAGTCTCAGTGCATGAAATCAAGCCCCTGTCTACCAGTATTTTACATTACATATTCATACATGTAGCTCTAATTCATGAAGCTCTTTCGGCAGGGAGCCAATAAAATGGCAGTATTCAGTGTGAGAATAGATGTGCGGTAGAGTTTGAGATCGAGCAGTGAGTGCACTGCTGCCCCTACTTACCAAACTTTATAGTGTTAAAATGATGACAACTAGAAAAAAAAAATTGAATTGTTTGATTACGTCATTAAGAACACCCAGTTGCCATTTTGGTAGGGAAGCTGTACCACTGACTGTGATCTTGTCACTGTTTCTGCAGCTACAACCCTGCAGGTGGATAAAGACAGTGCAAAATAGATCAAAATGACCATGAAAAACATGAAAAGGTGGACACATTAGGTGCAGTGTCCACAAAACATTGTGAGAAGATTAGCTAGATTGGTGGACTGGATCCTTATAGCCCTCATATCTCCAATGTTCAGAAAATTCCAAGCCGTGAGATTTTACAAGAACTAATAAAAGTGGCTACCAGAAGCTACCAAAGCCCTTAAAAACAAAATCATGCATATATGTGGAGCTGAAGTTAGCTTCTTATACACCAACTTACTTTCGACCTTTAATGGTGCTTCAGTTGAATAAAGGTGCCAGAAAAATATAAACATAGAACGAAGCTGGCGAATAAGAAGCCACCGTCAGCTTACTTCAATAAATGTATTAATTTACCTCAATAAATGCATCCTTAATCAAGAAATACCTTAAACCTTCGCTTAGAGATGTGTAATGAGCATGTCACTGCCTAATCTGATGCTGGATCCCAAACCACACACTTCTATACTTTAACTACTACACTACAGAGTGCACTTCTAATGCGCTATTTTTTGCAAACTACTTAGTGTTTCAAGAGGCAGCTGCAAATGTCAGTCTTGACTTTGGGTTAAGGGTGTAAATGCATCATATTGCAACAGTCTACATCTGTTTTAAAATTGATTATAATTGATTCTCATAATGTTCAGTGCAGTATGCATACATTTTCTGGCTACTTTCAAACACAAAAATAAAAATTATAGCTTTATTGTCTATTCTACTACTGTGTAAAAACGTTCTCGTTTTTTGTCAATAATCATTGTATTTATAAAAAAATAATACTTAATTGTACCAAAAATAAAAAAAGATTAAACGTAAGATTGAACAGTTTCCTAAAGAATCATATATGAATGCAATGGTTCTGAGGTCAGAGATTTACACCCCTACTGAAGGTTCTTTCTTCTTGTTGATCTTGACACCTGCAGGTGCAGGACCTGGCTGATTCGGGGGTCCTGTTTGTCGGCTTTCTGCAGCAGCCTGGTGGGGGGCCGTGTTTTCTGGGTCACGGTGATGCTGATGAACTCTCCTCCCTTCACTCCAGCCCCTCCCCTGTACACCAACACACACAAGCCCCAACAATCAGCCCAACCAGCCAGGATAAACACGTCAACCACTGCAAGAATGAGGACAATCTTAAGGACCTCCAAAAGCAGAGCTATAAAAACAAGGCCTCTCCAAGCCAGGACTTTGGAAGTGAGGCCAAACAGCAGCAAGAGCAAGAAAGCTGCCTATGCCAGAACCACCATAAGTCTTTTCCTGTTGAACACCAACGTTCAGACCATCAATTCCCTGAGGCAGGTAGACAAGAGACACAGACAGAGGACCACACACACCAAGACAGAACAGATGAGCCCAGATCCAGCTCAACAGAACCAAACCTGGCTGAAGGGAATTGTCCCCTTCAGGCCAGCAGTGAGAGCCGAAGGCCAGAGAACCCAGAGCGAGTCAAGAATCCTGACAAAGCTGGAAAACAACCTGGAACCACCCAGTCCCTCAACCGTGAGCTATAGTTTGTGACATATAGATGGGAGCTATCTTCTTTGCTTTTCTCAGTGTTTTAGAGTGCCCTTATTGTTCATCAGCATGATGTTGCACTGCAGATGTGAGAAAGTTTCAGCATTTAAAAATATACAAATCTTTCTTAAAATGAAACTTTTCCTCAAAAAACATGTATTACTTAATTACGGCCGAAATTCTTATAAATACACTGGCAGAGAAAAATGTACTGCACAGGTACATTTTTGTTTCCCAAGGTACGAACAATGTAAATGTACTCTTAAAGGTGCAGCCATGGTTTTGCAGGAGAATTCCACAGATTCTTCAGAATTTCTGCAAGATTAAGTCATTAAGATGTAAACGAAGTCATTCCAAGTGGTTTGAAGTGAAATACTCTATTCTAGAGAAACTTACGGAATCAGAATTATTCATAGCAGAAGGGATAGGAATCAGATGTCTAAACCAATCAATGCCTCTAAAAGCTAGCTCACATGAAGTTATTACATGAAATTATTATTGTTATAAATACACAGCCTAATGCCTGAGACATTGTTTTACAATAGTTTTAGAAAGTTTTTGGCCTAAAATGTTGATTTCTAGCAGAGAGGTACATAAAAAGTGTTACAAGGCAAAACAGTCCACAAAACAAACTTATTTTTTTTACAGTTTACCCCTATTTCACTGGCATCAACACTACAACTAAAAAACTCAGGCACTTGTGGGTTCACTTGTCGTTTTGTGTAAATAAAATGGCTATATTTATGTTGAAGGCATTGCAAGCCCTGTTTCCTGTCAACACTTTTCAGACTAGTAAGTTTCTCTACAATACACCATTTTGCCTTGCCCCACTCTGAATGGCTTTGTTTACATCTCAGCAATTGAAAAGCTGAAAGTATGTGGACACCCCTACTAAATATTGAGTTCAGGAGAAAGCCCTGCCAGAAGAAAGCCTCGTTTGTTGTGCCACAAATGTACACTTAAAAAAATTATGTCTTGGCAGATGAAATCATCTTGAATATAGTTGATATATCTAAAATTTGTCACTAAGATTGTTGTACGAATATTATTAGGTTATTTACATTATTTCTAGATATTTCTTACTTGTTTTAAGTAAATTTATCAAGTGAAAGTATCAATTTATAGGCAGATGTTATAAGAAATATTCTTGTTGCATGGTGTAAGAAATATGCTTGAAATTAGCCAAGCTGCCTGCCAGTGTAGTGGATATAGGATATTATATTGTCTGCACTTACCAAGACCCTAAGATTGGTTATTGTTAGCTCCAGCAGGACAGCAGTCCAAAGAATAAATTGATTTACTAACCAGATCAAGCATTTGCAGTGACCATCTCAGTCCCTGATCTCAACCACACTGAAAAACTCTAGGTTGAGGTGAAGAGGAGCTTTACAAGTGAGGACTGGTGACTCTAGAGAGATTTTGTGTGGAGGAATTGTGGCACATTTTTTATTTTTATTTGAATAATTTTCCTACTGAAAGATTAGATTCCTCTTATGAGTACAAGATCAAGCTGATAAAGTGTTGTTGCTGTGACTGTATCTTCCCTCTGACCAGCAGTCTCTCTGTGTTGTGTAGGTGTGCAGGTGTTCGCTCTCTATAACCATGCTGTGGTGCTCTCTGGGTCGCCAAGGTTCTATTCTTTGAGAATTCCACTGCAGGTGCACAAGGAGGCTGGGCTTATCACTACAGTCGACACTCACTGGCTTGATCATATGACCCAGCACTTCAGAAGCGGCGCCCAACTCATCGATGGCTACTTTCACATAGGAGATGATACGGGTATGGCAGCTAGCAACACATGAAAGGAGGAAATAGCTGCACATATCCCGTGGTCACTGTAGGCTTCTAATAGAAGTTATTGGTTACCTTTGCTTAATCTAAATACTTGCATCCATTTTTTTTTTTCATTTAATGTTTGCTGTTGCATATTCTTTAGTTAATTCATTCATTATTCACAGTCTTGGTTGTTCTTAGGTTTTCAGTGTTGTTCTTAGGGATTTATTAACTCTACAGTTAAGTCAACCAGTGGACTGAAAAGCCTGAGCTTTAAAGCATACGATGTCAACTGTTATTTTTAATATGTGGTTACCAGTTTTAAAAAAATGCAGTTCTTCTTAAAAAATGCTTCAGTTGTTCCTGAGCTTGTGCTCACTTATTTTTCAATTTTTAAATTCTGAGATAAAACACTGAGTGAGCTTATAGGCTGCAAGGGGCATATTTATGTCCAACCCAGATTTTTTTTGTCTTTTATTTTACATTTTTAAATAAATAATATAAAACATAATTGGTTTAATTCATTATAAATTCACTTTATGAAAAACTCTTCAACAAGCATTATTCTAATTCTACCCAAATATTACCCTCTCTCGGTATGTTTCTCTGCTCTTTTTCTCCACAGAGTCGTCCTCCACTATAGAGAGTGTGTTCATATTCCAGAGTGCTTCTGATGACATTATGACGGCCACTACGTATGACGCAATCGTAGTTGAGCAGTGGACGGTCATTGATGTAAGGCCTTGTTGATCTGTGAGCCCATGTTTGTCATTTTATACAAGGATTTCTTTTGAGCTTAGTTTTTTAATGCATCCTAGTGAATAGAATTTGGTCTACTGGCAATACACTTGAAACTTAGTACCAAATGTTTTCTCTGTAGGGTGTTGCTGTAAAAACAGACTACATCCCTCTTCTGCAGTCTTTAGCTCCATACGGATGGAGGCTAATGTGTGTACTGTCCACTCCCATAGTCAAAACAAACAGGTATTCACACTGAACTCACCCTTAATCCTCTTGACATATGAGATAGAGCCCGTTAACATGGGATGTTTGGGTTTTTGTCTTAGTGACGGCAGTTTAGCCACAAAACAGATCCTCTTCCTCCAGAGACCTGTGCTGTCCCGCAAGAGGAGAGACTTTACGGTTTGTACACCACTCTGTGTTCTTTGTGAAGTATTTCCATTGATTTCTTTAGTACTGTAGCTAAATGCTCCTCTGCCTATATTTAAAATCATAGCCTTCAGCTCCGCAACAAAAAGAAAATGTATTGGCTCTCAAAAAAAAAAGAAGCATTTTTTTGTTAAAATTATATATATATATATATATATATATATATATATATATATATATATATATATATATATATATATATATATATAATATAGAAGGTTCACCTACATTGTATCTACACTCATTGTCCATTTTATCAGGTCCACTTACCATATAGGTGCACTTTTGTTAGCCCCCCTTTACCTTGTTCTTCAAAGGTCAGGACCTCCACAGAGCAGGTATTATTTGATTATATGCACCTGTGAAATAGCTGAAGTAGCCAAACCCACAAATTAGAAGAGGTGTCCACATACTTCTGGCTAGTGTATTCAAGTCCTGTACTTCAGTTAAAGTAGATACTGTTGGTAAAATATTAAATGAATAAAAGTTCTCTGTTTATATTTCTACTTGAATTAAAGTACAAAAGCACTGGTTTTTAAGTATGCTCAAATACCAAAAGTCAATAATGTGATTTATTCTCGCTACTATAGAATTTCTATTACAACCTGTTGTTGTGTGGCTGCAGACTTGAAAAATGGGGTTTAAAACTTTTCTGCTAATTAAAAAATAGCATTAATCAGAAACAAATTACATTCTGAATGCTTTTCAGAGATGTAGCTAAACTACAATTGGGCAAGTGGTATTTAGGGGAGTGGTTAGTGAAAGGTGTGCTATGATTGGTTTGCTTCGGTTTGAAAGCATGTCATGTTTTTTTGGAATATTTTTAAAAATCCATTTTTCCTCTTACTTTAGACTAACCAGTGACAACACGTTTGTACAGAAAGCAGTGGAGTGAAAAGTAGGATATTTTATTTTGAAGTGTAGCGGAGTGAAAGATACCCAAAAATAGTATTTTAAGTAAAGTAACAAAATATCTGTACTGTAGTTACTGTCCACCATTGCTTCTGGCCACACAATGAATGCCAAAATAGTGTTAAATTGACATTTAATGATATAAAATGAATTAAAATAAAACAGTTGTGCAGTAGTACAAAGTACAGTAATAGTCTAAAATATCAGTGTCTATTCCAGTTCTGTTGATGTTGTCTTATGAGTTGCTGCTCCAGCAGACACAATTACTCAGTTTATTTCTGGCCACAGATAAAGAGGTTGCTAAATTTAGCTAGGAGCTGTCTATGACAAATGTGTAAAATAGAAACACAGCTGGCAGTATGTTAGTTTGAGAAGCTCAGAAGAAGACAAGCCTTTAATTGGTGTGTGTGATTGCCTGTGTTTTTCAGAGGCTTCACCTCAAAGGTCGCAACAAGAGGAACTTGAATAGTAAAGAGACTGTGGGGAGGGAAATACTGAGTGCTGCATCTCCGACAGTGACAGTGGAGAAGGAAGCAGAGAGAATGGCGAAGGAGAGCGAGAGCTGGATGAAAGATGAAGAGATGGAAAACAAACAGTGTGGGAGAGAGAGCCTGGAAAGAAATGGTGATGATGCAAGGACTTTGCAGGATGTTCAAAATAGAGACGTAGCTCTAGAAGAAAAGGTGGAGGTTAAGAGTGCAAGCACCAATCAGGACGCAAAGGGCGGAGTCAAATGTGGCTCACAGGAAGAGGAAGTGAGGCCGCTGGTACCAGAACGAGCACTGTTCTCTGGCGTGTGCTGAGTCAGGTGCTTTATTGAATTATGGTTGTGTAGCCAAACATGCTCTCATTAGCGTTGCCTCACCAGTTTCCCTCCAGGGAATCCCTGACGCCAAACTAAGGATTGTTCCAGTACTGTTTTAGCTCAAGTGAAGGGTGGTAGGGGAAAGTGAAGTTACATTAACAATCATGTGTGAGAGATTGAGTAGTTTGGAAACCCCGAAAATCAAATGTGATGTTCTTGAAATGTTAAGCAATAAAAATTAGTTTACAGATATGGCTTATAAACAGCTTTGTCCACCATAATTTCTGGGCTTGAAAAGAGAAATGCGTCAGGTCACAATGATATCCAGGCAAGTTCAGCTGCTGAAGTCGACACTTGTCCTCACAACCTCAGTCTAACGCCCTTCACTCGAGTAAGTAAAATAATGGAACAGTTCTTAAGATGGCCCCAGGGTTTCAACTGAGGGGAAATGATGATACCAAGTAGTTAAGGGGTTGTTAGAACTGGGCGGCTGCAATCAGCTTTGTCCACCTTTTTTTTTTTTTAGGTTTTCAAAAGGGAAATGTTTTGGGTCACAATGATGATACTTAAGTTCACTTGATCCCTCACCCCTGCTAGCTGGCTAGTTAGCATGCCAAAGGCTCTACACTACTGCTCTCCAAACATAAAATTAATGTATCTTACCTTCAGACATCTTGAAAAAACACATTTTGCATTACAGGATTAGCTCACTGTAGCTGACCTAGCAAAGGGCAAGTGCGTTTAGATTGAAAAACCGCACTTGAGTGAGTCAAAGTTGGTGAGGGCATATTAAAACAGTACTGAAGCAGGCTCTATATGTACACTACACTGAGTTGCCAGTGTGTAGGTGTGTTTTGTAGTTTTGTACTTACTGACAGTAGCCCTTCTGTTGCTGCATAATTTATCAGCTTTCCTCTACCTCGTCCATCATTGTAAAACAACCATCACAGGGCCACTGCTGACCGGATATTATTTGCGTGGTGGTAGGGCTGTGGTACTGTGTGTGGCACTGGTACAAGTGTACCAACAGAGTTTAAATACTTTTACAATTACATGAAGTAAACCAAGACACACTCCTCATTTTCCAGCTCTCTGCTACTGGCGTCACTGACGCTGCCCTCGTCTGGTTCATCTCCTGTATTACTGATAAATTTCAATGCCTTATCTGAACACAAATGCTGTTACACGAGGGGTCCCCCCAGTCCTCGGCCCTATCCTTTTTTATTATCTATATGTTGCCCCTTCAGATCATTTGTCACCATGGTCTTCATTTTTTCTGCTGTTGACAGTACTTAGATCCATGTGTGTACCAAGGCTACCACTATCCTTCTCCCCCTTCACTAAAATCTTATTAATCTTAATCCATAGTATCAAAGACTGTATTCTCAATTCAGACATTGTGATGTTCTGTAGTTTATAACGTGTGTAATTCTTGATTCATTCCTCATTAGAGAACTGGTCAACTGCTTTTACCTCACCCTTGTAATACTGCATATCTTTGCCCAATGCTCATCATGAAAGATGTTGAAACTCTGGTCTATGTTTTCGTATCAACCTGTCTAGACTACCGCATCTCTGTTTTCATTGGTATTCCTGACATAACCATGCACTCTTTGGTATGTTCAAAAAAACTGCTAGAATTCTCACTTGTTCTAAAATCAACTCACCCGAATTCCATTTCAGTTACCCTGGTTATCTTTCCCGTTAGATTGGACTAATGCTTGTCGAAAAATTCAGATTGGTCGGTGATGGGTGCAGATCTTTCGGCATCATGGCTCTTAAATTATGCAACACAATCTCCTCAACTCCTCCTTTCAAGCTCAGTTTAAATCTCTGGCTCTTCTCTCAACTTTCATTCTCCTCATCACTCCAGTCAATTTGTATCTCTTTCTCCAGTTGTTGTTGATATTATCCATTTTATAAATGCTGCTTCTGTAATGAGACCTGGGAAGTGTGAGAAAGGCACTATACAAATGAAATCTATTATTATTCATCATTATTACAATGTTAGTGCTGTTCCTGTGTTGAGAACGGTCCACCACCCAAGTAATAAGTGGTCATCCCTTTCCATTAACTGTCAAAATAGATAAATTGTGCAGCAACAAATGAGCTACAGTTGGTAATGGTAAACCTACAGCGTGAATGCTATATGGTTGGTGTAGCTGATGATTTATTAATTGGTGTACCTAATAAACTGGCAACTCTTTGCATGGTTTTATTAGAAATTAATCTCAACTGTGACCATATAGTGTTTCTATATATAGCATTTTTATACTTTAAAATAAACTATAACGGAATTGTTGAAGACTGAGCAAACGAGTACGGAGCCTGCTATGGATAATAACCCCATAATCCCATTCCGATATTGAAAACCTTATAGTTTATGTGCAAGTAAAAAGAAGAGTCTACAAAGTGTAGTATCACTGTTCATGACACATAATATTAAAAGATGAGTTATTGACCTTTACAGAGGAAATGTATTTGTGACGATGTTTATTGGGGTACCTTTGTATTTTACCATTGCTTAGCTTATTTTTAAATATATATATATATATATATATATATATATATATATATAAATAATTATTAATATAAAAACACCTTACCTGTTCAAAAAAAATGCATCTTCATTTTTGCTGATTTCTATTTTTCTACATGATTTGGACGCAGCAGCTACCCTTTACGTTGTGTTAGAATTTCATGATGAGTGGACCAATAGAAATGCTCTAAAATGACTGATGAAATTCTTGTTACATTAACTGACATTGAAATTTAAGATGTCTCTGCCTTCTGTAAAGTTAATATTTTGGAGCTACATGTTTTTCTTTGGACAATGACAATATATTAATGCTGCCGTCTAGGGGTTGAAATGTGAACAGCTGAGGAATAAACAAAACAGTGAAAAAAAACATCTGACCCGTGTAAAAGTGAAATGCAGTCAAGCACTTGCTGGCCTGGAATGTGATTTGGCAAAACTGCTAAATATAAAGGCAAACAGGATACTGGGAATGTATCCTTAAATAAGCAAGAATAAACAATCTTCAATCTCAAAAATGATAATATTCAATTTTTATTTTACAATTAGAGGCACATGACACACATAGCAACACCCATTTCTTTCAAAAACTGACTGACTACCCTCAGGGCTTCACTAGAATCCACACTTATTTGTATTTTATATGCCATTGATGTGATTCACATTATAGTGAACAGAGAGACTTCACTTGAAGGTCGTTTACATCTTGCCTTAACATGTGTTTCATTTCTGGATGTTTCTGGATACACTTTTACACATGCATCCCCAGGGTGACCAGCTGAGATTTGACTTTGCTTTCCTGCATAAAAAAAGCACATTAACACATACAGTGTTTTCGTGTTATGATACAAACCAACAAGTTTGGTTTGGGCAGACACTTTTCCGCTCATGGATTTGCATGTAGATTTAGAAAACACATTCTGTTTACAAAAACGCACTCTTTTCACTGTTGAAAGCAGTGAAGATCAGTCTTTGACCACCTATGAATGAGGTCTGCGGGATCTGATCACAGTGTTTCCTGGTGTGCGTGTTTACACCTGAATTTTCATGCAGTGAAATTCCTAAAAAATATGTTGATGTAAGGAGGAAACAGCCCCTTAACATCAAACTGTCTGACTAGTTTACAACTTTGCACTCAAGCAGACACGTCACCACTATCCTTCGAATGTTCTCCAAAAACTGATTTGAGTTACTGTTATAAATAAATAGTATTAAGTTCAAAGTTAAAAAATGTACATAAACTTTGTCCTGTGTACTGCTATTTGCAGTGTTAAAAATTGGCTTTACCTCTTTTGCTTGATTTTAACTGTGTAGTATCCCTAACACACGCACTGACTGTAAAAATAAGCTGCTGCTTGAAGAAGACGACAGTGAATTGCACAGATAAAAAAAAATTACTAGTTGTATGTAATTGTGCGTTTAAATTACTGGTCCACCAGTCTTTTTTTGTTTTTCTGACCGTTGAGGTACTCTACAGGCTGTAGATATCTAAGCCGAAAGCTACCACCACTTCTCATAAAGGATTCTGTTCTGCAGCAGGCCAAGCTGTTGCAAGTCTGTGCAAACGCTCTCAATCATGGGTGGCGGACCGCACAAATAACACAATGTGCGCTGGGGATCTACATGATGCCTCAGCACCTCCTCTGATATCCTTTCACCTATAAGTGAAGACGTATAGTGTCAGAGGTTGTACATCCTAATTAACTGTCCACATTTGACAAATGTATAATGCAGTTATGCATGACTCACTAGTTGTGTAGGGCTGCAGTTCCTGCTCTACTTCCGAGCTCTGTCGAGTCACATGGAAGCTGCAAGAGAAGTTATCTGGAAATTCCTGGCAAACACCAATGATGCTATTCTGAAAGGGGAAAAAAAAAAAAGATTAATGATATTTTAAACAATGTTTTGAACATATTACAAATAGTCTCAAGCATCAAGGAATGTCTGGGTCACTGATGTAATCTGGTTTAACTGTTAAGTCTACCTCCAACAACCAAGATTTGATAAATTTAGTAAACATCTTTGTATTTGTTTTTGTTTTTAATATGTACTCAGGCTTCAAGCAGCCTAGCTGCAACTACTTTTTTTTAGCTATGATCCAAAATACATAAGTCATACAACACCAGAACCCACAGAAGCAATGCTATTGAAAATTACCCTACAATTTGGTGCAATTTGAGGCAAACCTTGTTATTCTCTAATTTTTTTTTAAAACATGAATTGAAAGTCAGTTGTCCTGTCTGTTTTGTCAAAATTTAATGACAAATAGACCAACAAAAATATTACAAAAAAACTTGTTAAAATGTCATTACATTAACATCAGCATGGGCCAGTCATCATGAAATTTCAGCAGGGTTTCAGTAAAAAGTGTTGTGTTCATATTTTTGATCAGTGTATATTTGAGATAAGAAGAAAACTGGGTATTGATTTCTTTAACTATTGTTAACTACTGTTAATCAACAGGTCTAAATTTCAGAAAAAAATGCAAGCACATAATTAACTGATAATTAGAAAGTTTCACTTATATTTTAGAAATCATCTAACTCGTGTATCAAAATTCAGTCACACAGTGTAATATGTGGAAAACAAAAATTATGTTTGATGAAGTCAGAACGTGATGGACAGCCAAGTATAGTTATGTTTTAGCGCATGTTTTGGTCACCTGGCGCATTTACAGCAGCGCTTCATATACAGGCACTCACTTTGAAAAGCAGTTCTTGTGTGTTCTTGGCACTGTAACAGAGGTGAGTGCGTCCTGGGGTGTATCCATGCGGCTGTTTGAGCAGGTCAGCTGTGTGCATTAGGATGGAGTACAGGGGGTTAATGCCTACCCCACCAGCCACCAGCAGGAGGTCCATCACGGGTTCGGACGGGCTGGGGTCAAAACAGAAATTGCCGCCTATTCTCACTGCCACATGAGAGTCCACTGTGCACTGAGAGAGGAAGAGGAAGGTCTTTCCTATTGCAACTCAATACTGACATCAAGTATAGCACCATAAGAAAATCAACACCCAAGGGCATACACTTCTGCTCTGCTTGAGTTACACACACACTTACCTTGGTGTGTATCCAGTGCGCAGGCGGGTGTTCTGTGTACTTCACTGCAAGTTCTATAAGTCCTTTTCTTTGAAAAAGGCCAGGGCTGGAGCACACAGAGAAACCACCCACCTTCTCCATGCCTGGGATGAAAAAGTCTACCCTGAACACAAAATTCACTCTCATTAATGCAATGTTTCTACCAAAAATTTACTTTACATACATTTCCCCTTTAGGTGCCCGAAGTTTGAGTTGTTCTGCACTGGAGCTACAAGTCTAATGTACCCAAAAGACCCAAAAGTCAGGCCAGAAAACCTGAATACTGCCAGAGAACTTTCTGTCTGGACTGATCTTATTAGACACACAGTATTGCATTTTGGGTCTGAAACTGACCAGAGACCAACAGAACTCAGCCAAGATCACCCAAAGTGCTGGGGGGGATAAACCCAGACAGGATAGCACCAGTTAAATTACTGTATAGCAACAATAGCAGCGCCATTAGATCACATATAAATAAAATAAAAATATAACAAAATATTTTAAAATATTCAGCTGTGCAAAGTTAAGTTTGAATAACAAATTTTATCATATAGCAATATAAGCAATTCATCCCAAATGTTTTTACTCTGGATGAACTGTCACACACTATTCCAACATGCTGATATTGCAAGTTAATCTTCACCTGTTATTCCTAAATAAAAACGCTATTTCTCTACATAAAACAAGTGTGGTCCTCATGAACAGCTTTAATGTAATGGGATTAAGAATAAAGTAAGAAAAAAAAAACAAAAAAAAAACACGTGACCTGGCAAATCTAGCAGCTAACATGTAAGGGAAGCTTACTGACCAAATAGGATCAGTGTAAAAGCCTATGAGGCTGTTTGCACCTTGCATCAACGTGAGTACACGGTGATTGGATCACGTTTCGATTTCATTTGACTGCATGAAAAGCAAGGTGAAAACACACTCAGGACGCACTGCAGTCAGATTACGAGTGGATCACTCAAACAACTTTCGGATCAAATACTGCTCTTCACCACATTAAAGCCACAATATGTCAGACCCCTCTGGTGGAAATGTGTAATTGCATGCAAAGTAAGAACATTTTGTAATGTTGACTGTACTTCAGACCCCTGCAAGCAGATTAATCTGATGACTGCAAGTGCATTTAAAGAGAACTTGTAAACTTTTAAAGATTTAAAAGAATGTGGAGATAAGAATATAAGTGAATTGTCTACAATGGTCATGATATCTTCATCAGAATAATGTTGATTTTGCATTCGAGACCTAAACATAGAGCCTGTGCAAGTGACATTAATACATAAAGATGTATGATGTGGTACAAAAAACTCACACAAAATCCTGCTCGACACTTCTGACTTTTAAATGATTTTAACAGGGTGACTTGCAGCAGCACACACACCATATTTTAGTGAGTTTTTATTTTTCCTACTCAACAATAATACTTTTACTTTCAACACAAAAAATCTTATAGTTCTACTTTAAACCAAAGTATAAATGGCATGTGTTTTCTACATCTGCACACATTTAAAGAATTCTTGACTTCTCTCTCGTGTCTAAAAAGTCCTCCAGACAGTGACACCGACTACTGCAGAAATCACAGCAGCTGCAAGACAAAGCCTTCGCTGCCAATACAAATGATTCGTTCATCTGCCGATGCAGACTATTGTTTTAACGGTTGCTTTTGATATTTGCTAGTAACAGGTGAGGAACCATGTTTTCAGGAGGATACCAAAAATGGAAACGTGTTAATTTACACAGGAACCTATGTAACAGTCACAGTGGTCACAGTGAAGACACATTTTAATGTGAATCTGGCCTAAGTATATTGAGTGTATCTAGATAAAAATCTGGACATGAAGTAATTTATTTATGTTAATGCAACATGTCAGCAAATTCTATTTGAGATTATATAACAGCTAAACTCAGTTTTATGAAAGTGTTTATGAAAGCAATGCAGTTTGCACAACTGGTGAACTGTAAGCTTCCATTACTTGTTAGCTACATTAGCCTCATAATTCCAGTACAAAAATGCACCAGATACCAATCATGTCACTATCCATTAGATTTTGGGTAATGATAAAATTGTGCAAATCTGATTCTTGACTGAACCATCGCTTCATATTCACACCATGCTGCAAATCCTTAGTAAAGAAAATAGTTCTAAATCTTTGCATGATTAAAGGGTTCCCTGCAAAATGGAAGCGTTCTTCAGATTGATGGAGAATATAGTGTAGATGGTTCTATATAGAACCTTTTTCAAATGGGTTCCATATAGCACCAAAAATGTTCTTTTATTGTTACAATGTCAAGCTTGTTACAATAGAAGAACCTTTTCAGGTGCTGTATGGAACCCTTTTATCATGCAAAGGGTTCTTTGAGTGTTCATGGTTCTATATAGAACCATTTTCTTTACTAAAACAACCCTTATAGAACCATCTTTTTTAAAAGTGTAGAGTTATTTCATGTTCAACAACCCAAATTACAACCAAAATCTAGGGACATTTAACAGAAAGAATATTGTAATAAGCTTTTGCAGTATAAGTAATTCAGCCCCCACTGTAAGAACTCCAGAGGAGCACGATATTTACAAAGTAGCGACGCATCATATCAGAAGGAAAACTAGAGGCAAACAAACCTGAAAATGCAACATTTCTACTAGTTGCTCTTAGCAATTTCTTAAGTTTATGCGCAACTCAAATAAGCGACAACACATATGGTGCCCAACCACGTACGCCCACTCTCTCACTGGCCTCTGAATTATTTATCAGCATCAGAAGAACAACAGTCATATGGTCCGGAGGAGTTTCTCTGCATGAATTTACATAAATCATCCAGTGACTTTTTCACCCCTTTCCTTTTGCTCGCACTCACATAAGCGAAGTGCGCACACACACACAAGTTCCCGCAAAATAAATCAGTCATTTCATGGACAACAAGTAATTGTCTCTCTCTCCCTTAAACCGGCAATGTTCAATTTCATTCGGCTCTGCACTGCGCTGATAAAATGACTAAGTCTAACAAAATGCAATTATTACTGAGTGTTTTCTGTTATTGTGAAGTTAAAGCAGCAATAATAAACAGTGGAAACTGTGCCCTTCAGCCCACACTTGGATTCTCAGCACTGCTTTGCCTGTTAGACCCAGAATTGTTTGCATTTAAGCCAAACTTTTTTTTCCTTTTATTTCCACTTCACTTTTAATTTCCACTTGTTTTGCACCCAAATTCCAGGAAGCAAATCATCCCATTGGCATCATGCTGAGCTGGAACTGTCCTTAAGCCCATACTTCGACTCTCAACCCAGAGAATTGAATCAAACTCACTGAGACAAGGACATTATTATTATTTTTTGCTGAGAGCCCCTTAAGAAAAAATGACAGCATTTGAACTTCATTGTGTCCATCCACTACATTGTGCATTAGATAAGTGCTGATATTCAGTAATATGATGCTGCAATATTTAACACAATATTATCATACACACTCTGAAATATAGTCACTGCATTTTAGTCAAATAAGATGATCTAGACATGCAGAGCATGCTTTCATGCTGTATTTGATGTCTGTACAGCTGTTTTAGTGTGTTATTGTTCTGAGTGCCTTCACAGCTCACAGTAAAGGCTGTACTGCTGTCCTTTCATACTCAATATTGGCACATGCCTGATGTGCACATAGTCATGACCCGATCACGGAACTGAAGAACGATAGGTTAGACAAGTGCTTTTAAGCCTTCAAGTATAACATTTGGTTAAAATGTCTTACAAATCTTTGACACAATCTATGCTGTATTATATCTGACAGCTGGGCACCAGGTTAGTCCTCAGCTACTCCACACTGGTCCACTTTTCTCTCTAACTCCGGTACTTCCGGTCTGTGTTCAGCTAGGCATGTGCCGGTATAAAAAAAATGTATCATGATAATTACCTAACCTTTTATCATGGTTTACAATATCACAATGTTAAATAACATTTTTTTTATTTATTTTTAAATAAAAATAAAATTTTCATGTCAAATATGTTTTCTAAATGGCATTTTTTACAACATCAGTAAACGTGTGCAGTATTTACTATAAAATGATTAATAAAAATAAAAACTCCACATAATGATGCTCTCTGTGCATCATTATCATTCAGGATTATTAACACTGATAGTAGACAACCTGACATTGAACACTGAAACCTTTACAAAGAGCTGTGAAGCTGCTCCAACAAAAAATACAGCATGGTGCCTGCACTTCACCCACATACTAATGGCTTATACTGCGCTGTATCATTTAATTATGTACTGTTAAGCCAAAAATTATTCATACCCATGCCCATGACACTTTTATTTGACCAATAGGTTTCTTCTGGCTGGAAATGACATAAGAGGGCAAGACATTGTGCTAGAGATATAAATTAGAAAAATAACTATATACATGTTTGTTTTCACATTTCTATGAAAAATGTCATGTCCAAAATTGTGTGATAAATAGCAAAAGCCTTTATTTGCCATTACAGTAATCAATCAATTCTTATAATTGCTAACAAGCTTTTTGCATGTCTCCACTGGGACTTTGGACAACTCCTCTTTTGCGAAGAGTTCCAAGTCTTTGAAGTTGGAAGGCTTCCTTGCCATCATTCTGGTGTTTAAGTCCCTCCTCAGACTTACAATGGGTTTGAGGTCTGGACTCTGGCTGGGCCACTCCAAAATGTAGATACTGTTTTCTGTTAAGCATTTCTGACCACTTTGGCTGAATGTTTGGGATCACTGTCTTGTTGGAAAGGCCAATGCAGCCCAAGGCCGAGTTTTTCAGACTGCATGACGTTTTCCTCCAGAATCTTAATGTAGTCCTCTTTAGTCATGATGCAGTTTACTCTGACAAGGTTGCCAGGCCCATTGGCTGAAAAACACTCCCAAAGCATTACATTCCCACCACCATGCTTGACCATGGAGAATGATTATCTTGGGGTTGAATGCTTCTGCTTTCTTTCACCAAATGAAAGCCATGTACCTGTGACCAATCAACCCCATTTTTGCCTCATCTGTCCATAGAATTGATGACCAAAAGCGTTCTTTTTTTTTGTCAAGATGAACTTTTACAAAGGCTAAGTGAGCACTGTCTTACAGTCTTTTGTCACTTGTCATTTCCGGCCAAAAGAAACATATTGGGCAATTAAAATTCACTCTAAATCAAACAAATGGATACTGACATGGGTATGAATAATTTTGGGCTCAACTGTACATGCTGCAGCAGTCATTATAAAAGGGGCTTAATGTGAAAACCTTTACTAGCAGCCTCTATTTATCAAATACACTTGCAACAAGAATGCTCATTTATGCTAGCTGGAATATGAGATTTCAAGCCTTTGAATTTTATCCACACTGGGTTCAATACTACACAGCTTGAGTCTAACCCCAGACTCTGGACAAACGTTGCTTGGGTGAGATGTGAATGTACACCCAGAACAACAGAACAGTTATGACGGCTCATAGCTTGTTTCCAACAACACTGTCCTAACACACAGGTTGCACATCTAAAACATCTTCTCCAACTAAATCAACATCTTCAGGAGCATGCAAACATAGTCATATGCAAAAGTTTGTGCACTCGTGGTCAAACTACATGTTTTGTTCATTTCCTAAGGGACACAGAACACGCTTCGGCACATTATATTTTATTTTTTTTCCATTATGTTAAACTTGCCATATAAATAGAAATTGTGCATTAAATTTTGCAGAAAAATGCCATATTTAAGGTTGCTCCCTGTAGAAGACGTGTTAACGTATTTTCACTTACACAAACAAAAAAACATATTTTGACCAGATGTGTTTAAATTTTTGCATACGACTGTACAAATCCAAACATAAAAGCCCCTGGGAACCTAAAGGCATGGTTTCTAACTAATTAGGTAAATGCTGCTCTTGCTGGCAACATACATTTCCTATGAATAACTGTATGTCTAATAAATGGTTGATTTTTTTTTTTTCTAATTTTCTCTGCTTTCAGTGTAAACTGGGCAGTCCTAATCTTGAGTAAACCTTGCATCTTCACCATTCACAAGGCTGAAGTGGCCTCTTCGAATCAGAAACAACTTAGCAAGTGAAAGCTAATCTAGCAAGCTAGCTCACCTGTCTGTTGTTAATACATTTGTCCAACTGGCCAGGCATTCATTGTGTGCCTTCCCTGGTTGTACATCCAGCAGTAAAGTGAAAAAGGTTGGAACAAAACTCTACAAAGGGAACTTCTTTGTTGATAATGTGAACAATAGAGGAATATTTTCTAGCACATCAGCAAAACTGTCCCAATGCATCGTATTATAGTTGGTCTCAGTGTAAGAGTACTAGGAAGTTTCTGTATTGTTCTTTATAGTGGCTGGGTCACTAGACATAAAGTCAAGACACAAACAAAAGGGAACCAAGATTGAGTAAAGAATAATGAAGGGATAGTGATTATGATGATAATGATGATAATGATGATGACTAAACTCTTTGCTATTGTACTATTTTCCATTTTTATGTAACATGTATATGGTCAATATCCATTGCTCATGTTTTACGTCACCTAGCATGTGTTTAGAACCCCTGCTTGAAATGTAAATTAAGTGACAACCAGACTGCTAATCTCATTGGCTCCATTCCTTCAGGCTGCTTGCATTTGGGTGGCAGTAAAAGAGCAGCAAGCAGTTTATACATTACTGGGTGCATTCTTAAAGTCAGTTCAACACCTCTGTTTTGCAGGTCCAAAAACAAGTCATTTTCTATGCTTACAGCACCCTCTCCTGGTCCTCTGAAGTAAACACTTCTTTTCTACATTATTCATTCTCAGTATAAAACAATTCTATTTCACACCAATTCATTGTCCGTGCAGTCATTAAGGATGTGAGCATGCATGTAATCACAGTGAGGCAATCACAGTTACAAATGTCTAATGAATGATCCACAGGCCTAAGCATTAAACAATCACATTTCTTACCATTGGCCGGCACGGAAGCTAAAGTCAGGATGGGGCACTTCTAGCCGGAGTCTCTTGACTGTGTCTGACTCATTTGTGATGCTACACACTCGAGCGGTAAACAGGGCCTGTTAAACACACACACACACACACACACACACACACACACACACACACACACATTCTTTTGAATAACGAAAAAATATTTTGAACAGCTGTTTCCATCCAAAAAAAATTGTGTTAAATGTTTTCAAAAAGGCTTCAAAAAGTCTTAATTCAGACAATGAAAACAGAAACTGTATGCAATTTTATGGAGCTCAATAAAACTTCTTGCCATTCAACTTTAGTGAATAAGTCATTTGTTGATACCTTAACTGTTTTTGGAGGGTAAACATTTACATTGCATTTAATTGCATTTACACATATATTAAGTGTCATGTGACAGATTTCCATTACAGGTTCTTACAACAAACCAAAAACAGCATGACAGAGAGGTAGAGCTGGACTGAGGAGGAGACTAGAGTGTTTTTAAATGGAATGCTGCTATTTACAGAAAAAGATATCTTAAAACAGCCTTACAGCCTTTCTAAATGGAAAGCGCTCAAAAAGCTCTATACCGCAAAGAAACCTCTCAGGTGATGGAAAAATAATAATTATATGTTAAAAATTAAAAGTAAAACTTCTCTCAAAATATAACTTGAAGCAATCAGATTTGTAACCATACAAACACCTAGACAAACATTAGCTTAATTTGTCTTGTTACTTTTCGTTCTCTGAAATTTGAACAGGTGTGGGCAGTGTATTAATTCGATCAGACTACTGATGGTAAACATGAAGCTCTTAAAACCAGCACACATTAGTGACACCAGGAGGCTAAAAGCGTTATCAGCAGCTATAAATCTAACTCTATTGCTACTCTGTCTTGGGAAATGTTTTACAATTCAAGTCAAAATGTGCACGTCCTAAAAGTATGCAAATCGTTTCGAAAGCACTAAAAGTAAATAGTAACAAACACAATGCAAAGGTGTGATACATGATAAAAAAAAAAAAAAAATTACATCACCTTAGAGTTGATGGTGTTCATATCAAATCTCCTAGCAGTCACGTGGTTGTGTGCAGACGTCTCGGACGTCAGTGGTCATGTGTATTTGTAGAACGTAAACCGAGCATTGATACCATGTTTCAAATTAAGTGAGCTGGTTTTTTTTTATAAGTGTGTCATTCTACAGAAACGTCCATTTTTTTTTAACTGTCCTTAAGAGTCACTGGCGTTACTGATTGTCATTGGTGTTACACATAAGAAACGTAACACCAGAGACAGTAACACCAGTGACATCTTTAATGAAAAATGCATTTTATAAAATGGCAGCTAAAGAGCATCAAACCACATGTTGTCAATCATGGAATATCCACTAAAATGTCATTTAATCCATTTGTATTTATTTTTTCACAATTACCTAAGAATAAAGTAGGTCATACCAGTGACATCAACTTAAAGCTTCATATGAAATCATGAGCTAAATGAGAAAATTTCTGGTAACTGAAAGAGACAGTGAACTTACCATGTGCTTTTCTTCATAGATCGTCAAAAAAATAGGTAAAATGAAGTCAAGTGATGTCAGTGTGATTTTTATTTCAAAATAAGAGGTTTTTTGTCACGCAGTAACACCATTGACACGACTCCTGCAAACAACAACTTTCATTATACATTTTACATATTTATTTGGCATTTGTATTCTTTATGTCGTTTAAATCATATATTTCATAGTCATGTACAGATTATTACAGTTAAAACTGCAGAAAAAACATGTTTTTTTTACCTCAAAACATGGTACTCACCCTTTACACATGACTGTGAGGATGAGCACTTCTGTGGTGCTTGGAATTCTATATAACTTATTTAAAAACCTATATCTGTAAATGCTAGGGACACAAAAATGGACGTTTCCATAGAATGACTCACATGCTCCAAAGCTTCAGTATCAAGGATGACATCACTAGTTCAAACATATATTGCTCCAAAATCCCTGAACTAAATTCTGAATCTTGTGAAAACAATGGCATAAACTTATGATTATTTACAAAGTGTGTTTGTTATTGAATTGCTGTATATGGGACTGTCTCTATTTGTTAAACACGCTCCTAATTATATGAAAGGCAAGTGACATAACACTGGGACATCAGCCAAATAACATCATACCAGCACATGATGTGTGACCCCCTCACCTACATAGTCTAATGTGACCCTTCACCTAAAAACATTTTATTGCAGACATAAGTGTATCAGAGCCAAATGCTATAGAATTACACAAAACAAAATGCCTTAATGAGAGTACAACAAACAACTAATCAGAATTTTTGTAGTCATCTGTAATATGAGCATAGATCTCTGATCACTTATGTGTGACCCACTGATTTCTATAGGTGGTTTATGTTTCCAATAGTGTGTTATTATTTTTATATATATACGGTATTAGAATATATATTAGAATCTCTCATCTGACCAACCTGAGCTTAACAGTTCAACAAATGTTCACACAGAACTGATCGTATCTGATAAAGTATCAGAAACACTTGAAGAGTGACACCAGTGACTCACCTCTTGCCTATAAACATTAGCCGTCCTTTCAAGGTGGTCAGCTTGTCTAGATATTTTTCTAGGGGACAAAAAATAAATGACAAGTCAGACAAGCCAACAGACTTCACAACTACTCAGATTCACAGCATACTTACAATAAACATACAGTCTTGACAAAACATACTCTGTTATATGTGGCTATAAGGTCCAAATTACCAAACAATTAAATTACATGATCATTACTGGATCTTGCAGATGTAACATGTTCACTACACGTTTGTCGATCAGTTTTATCAGGTAACAGCTTAACAAAAAGCTGACAGTGAGGTCCTACATGTACTCACCGCATAGATTTAGATACGGCGCCACATCTGGTCAGTACTGACCCCAGATTCCCGACGACACCTCTAGCCGTGGTTTTTAAAATCCAAGGGGCGCTCATCGCAGTGAGAGATGGACTCTGAACATTCAGTCTCTTCTCAGTTACAGGATAACTAACAGAGAGTAAACAGCGCTAAGAGAACATTTGGCAGCTTAAAGACCAAGCATTACATACCAGCCGTTAAACAGAGGCGTTCATTAACCCAATGAAAAAAGCACAAAAATCTGAATAACTACATCATAAGTCAGCCTGCCATCAGTTACTGAGTGTGTACACAGGCGTGTTATGTTGGCTCTGTATTTTAGTTAGCTAACTAGCTACCTATAGCATCGTTGGGCATGCCGCGCTCCAATTTACCTATTTGTGTCCTAACTAGTGTGTAGACTTGCAGCCGCCATCGCAGGTGTGAAGTGTTCGAATTCGATTCTCGTAACGTTATTCGAATGATAGCTAAAGTAAAATAAACACAATAAAGCCCACTTGACTTGATCTTCACCTGTGAGCTCTAGAATTTCACTGTAGTGTTATACGAAAAAAGTCGAACGACACTACTTAAGCGAACGTTAACGATGACGACCTCGAAGTGCACTCGGAATGCAGCAGCTCGAACTGTACCAAAGACCAGTAGGTTTTCACTACATAGTCTACGAGTATGCAGAACGGAACTAAACCAATGGGAACACCGCCGTTTCGATGCCGACAGGCTAGCTTAGTTTACTTGTTTAATGGTCCAGTTTTACAGTAAAGCAAAAGGTTTTTCTTCTTTTAAAATGCAAACTTTAGGTCTAAAAGCATATATCCATTCTGTCAATACAACCCACCTATTCTTTCCTCTTGATCTCTAGTACCTGTGTTAGTCCGGCTGTTTGACCTCGGTCATGATCTCTGGAAACACGTGAGTGACCTGGAAGTAGTTCCGAGTCACGCACTTGCGTAGAGATACGCATATATATATATATATATATATATATATATATATATATATATATGAATACATGGCTCTGAATACATGCATACATGCTCATTATCAGACATAAAAAAATAAGACGTCCATACCTCTGGTATATTTACAAACGTTCAAATGTTATATGTTCAGTAAATAATATCTCAAATTCAGCTTATGGACGTGCTGCGTGTAAATATATTCCCTGCTTAAAACATTCTCTGGTTATACGTTTAGTCCTATTTTTATTTGAACATCACAATATTAACAACATTGCAAAACATTACAAAAATTTGCATTTGTGCTAACAGTGGACCTATCTAAAAACATTCAGTGCTGAAGCAACTGGCCCTCGCCATCTCTCTCGTATTTTAATAATAAAAAAAGTATATAGCTAATGAATCCCAGTCTGAAAATCACTCTACTAGGCGATTTTAAGTGGACATATAATAAAACAAATTATCCAGTGGGAAAAAATTGATGGTGAGTTTCATGGTCACTCTTTACAACCGACTTTTTCTTCTAGGCAATCACTGCTCTTGTCATGTTAAACAAGCGACCTCTACTGGTCACAGGCAGATACTGTGAATTATGTTGAGTGTTGAAGCGCCAGTTTTCCACACAGATTGAACGTATATATATATATATATATATATATATATATATATATATATATATATATATATATATATAATACACATCTGTATTAGTCTACTAAGGAAATCTTAAATATTGCCAAAAGACGAATTCTGAGCACAATAAATGTTTTAAGTGCTTGCAATCTTGTGCAAAGTGCCTTCTGTTCTTATTAGAACTGAGGATGTTAGCTTAGACAGATTATACATTTCTGACCAACAATAAGCATCATATACTCAGAAAGTCATAAAATGAAATTTCATTGTACATGTACAATCACAATAACAATCCATTCCATCACATTAAAACTGTTATTGTTTCTCATGTGGCCTCTCTCTTCTTAAAAAGTCTGTTTTTCTCCATGCTCCATCCTTTTTTCATTATCTTGGCATCTGTACACCTTATTCCGTTCAGGCTGTTACTGCCATCTAAGTTTGCTTTCTTGCCACACCAGTTCAGATTTGTTGACAGTCGACAGCATCATGTTAAGTTAAAGGTAAAGAGGAATTCCACAGATTCAGAGTGGTTTGATCTGAGATGTGCTGTTCTAGAGAAACTTCCAAAGTCAGAATTGTTCACACTGGTGGTGATAGGAACCAGACATCAGTAGAGTTAAATGCCTCTGTAAGTTCCTTCACGGAAAGTTTTTACATGAAATGATTTTGAATACGCTGCCTGACGTTTGAGACAGACAGAGAAAATTTTGGCCCAAAAAGTATTTTTAATGTATTCATGATGGTACGTGCAGAGCACTGTAAGGGAAAATCGTCCCCTGAGAAAATATATTTTTTCAGATTTACCATTATTTGACCATCATCAACATTACATCTAAAAACTTGTGAGTTCCGTTGTAGACATTGTAACCCTGGTTCCTGTCACCACCAGTGTAAAAGGTAAGTTTCTCCACACTGAAACGTCTCACATCAAACCACTCTGAATGACTTTGTTTACACAATGATTGAATTATGTAGAAATTTTGAAAAACTGGTAGAATTCCTCTTTAACTTCTAGAGTGTGATCTTGAAAACAATGCACTCAAATGTATGTGATGGGTGTTCCCTGGATCCTTTCATCCTGAACCAGGCGAATGCCTTGACTTCATAATCAGCTGTCAGTGTTTATATGAGTCCAAAAGAATGAATACCACAGACACAGGCATTCAGCACTACAGGTGTTTGTTGTTTGTTGTGAAGCAAGACAATTCAATTAGCGCACTGTACAGAACCACCATATTTATATATTGCTGTTGTCAGACCAAAAATCTCCAAAATGTTACTTTACAGAAGAAGAAAAAAAATCTACTTGACTTTTAATGTAAGTCAATGGAATCAGACTTTCCTCCAAGTCATTATGGGCCAATTCTTTTGGCCCATTCATCATGAAACTTACACATAATGTAAAGGGCAACAGGCATTTTCAAATTATGTCAAAATGGAGAAAAATATGTCAAAAATGTAAAAAATTGACATTTTGTTCTGACAACAGTGATATTTATTTTAATAGTAGCATTATATCTGTTTTTGGAGTAAATAAATCTGAGTCCTGCTTGTTCCCACAGTGAAAAACTCAACTCCTCAAGGACTGAATTCCACATAGAACTGCAGTTGAACTTACAGCGTTCAGCATCTATCGGTACAGGAACTGAATTTCTTTATCACTTGTTGTGATGCTCTTAAAATAAAATGCCTGAAATAAAATAATAAAACAAGAAAGTGACCAACGGATGAGAATGAAACAAAACAAGAAAAAGGACATTACAGACGTATTGTGAATAAAATAAAATTGAGTAAAAAGTAGATTCCTTTCCTCATTGACAAGTCTATAAATAAAAGTATTAGCAATTGGAAAACATGTTAAAATTTTAGTACATGAAACTGGATAATGATCACTCAAAGTAAACTATGCCCCATATTTTAACTCTTGTATGTGAGGAACTGCTCCCTGCACTGAATCACAGGTTGGATAAGTTTGTCCATCTCATGATACGCGATGGCTCCACTTGCCCAACTCGAGTCTGCCATGAGCAATGACTCTGCAAAACCCTGTTCCTCATTCTGCTCGTCAAAGTTTGAGTTTGGGATTATTTGAGATTATTTATTGGCTGGATTAAAAATATGACTGGACAAATTAACACACTGTTGTTTTCATATTCATGTTTAACAAGCCTATTTACACCAGACCCCACTGCTTTTATTCAAGAGGGAAAATATTGTATTCAGTGTCATAAAAATGTAGATATCAGATTGCTGCTGTAAGAAAACACCTGGTACTCATATTTCATGTGAAGATCTATTCTCAAAAGGAAACTTGAGAAGTACTGGCAAGTACTGAGTATCAATCTGCTCATCTCTATTACTTACTGTAATGTGTAACATCAAGCTATGATGAACATTAAAGAAAAGAATACAAGCGATTACCTTCACTTTTCTATTTTACTTTTCAGATATACTCTGAGTGGCAGTATCACAATTCCATTCACTTCTGATTATTTTTATTGCTTTATGCTGTGTGGGTGTGGTTTTTAACCACCAAAATGAAAAGCCAACATCAGCCTGTTCACAGTACCTTTTATTGGTTTAAAGACATGTTTTGAAGACATTTAAAGATTGAACATTGCATCGTTCAATCACTCAAATGCAAACAAAGTCATTCAGTCAATTTCATTTGTAGAGAAACTTAAAAACTTAGATTTCTTTACAGTGGTGGTGATAGGAACCAGGAGTCACAATGCCTTCAACATAAATACAGACATTTTATTATTATCCAACACTCCCCATGAGCCTACATGTGTCTTCTAAATTTTATTGTGTGACATTGGTAATGCTGGAAAAGTGGTACTGTTTCATCTTACCTCTCCACAATGAATGGGTTTAAAAATATACATTTTATGCCAAAATGTTATCTCAAAACTATGGTGACACAACGTCTCAAATATCAGACAGTGTATTCATAAACATTGCATGTGATAACTTTCTGTGATGAAGCATTAAACTCAGACACCTGGTTCCTATCACCACCACAGTGAACAATTTTGACTCTTTCTAGAAATGGGCATTTCACATCAAACCACTCTGAACGACTACACTCACATCTTAATGATTTAATTATGCAGAAAATGTTTAAGGTCAATAGAATTCCCTTTAAAACAGATACAGAAGCCAGTGGTTCTGAAGCCAGTGGCTGTTAAAATGGTTTTATTTTTCAAACGCTGCGGAGCAGAAAGACATACAGAGGGATTTTCGTTGCGATAAGCCGTGAGGAGACGTTCAGGATTTTTATCAGAACTACTGAGGAACACTTCGGTCAGTGGGGGCGGAAGGGGCAGCGCGGGTCTGAAGAGAGCGGGAAACAGACTGCATTCGTTAAAAGTCTGAGAGGGAAAGGTGAGTCAAGAGCTGTGCGCGCGCCAGTTCACTAATGAGCGATGAGACGCGTCTCGTTACTAAACGTCACTTGACCGCGCGCGATATTAAATTAGAGAGAGAGAGAGAGAGAGAGAGAGAGACCAAGCCTGTGGAGAGGCTGAAGCTCCGCTCAAAGGGCGCAAAGCGGGGGACCCGGAGTGGACACACACGAAGGCATTTCAGTTTCAAAGCCTCCCTACGGTCTGAATGGCGCGTCTGGAGATGATTTTCATGCTGGTCTGCGCGTTTTTAGCGGCCAGGACGGACTGCAAGAAAAGTAAGACCAATTTAATAACTGAACGTTTTTAAATAAATCGAACAAACGTTAAAAAAATAGTCTGCTAACTAATCATCATGTATGCAACTAACACTGTGAAGTTAGACTTGGTTATAGCCAAACACATTTTTGAAGAGGAAGTGGGGGTTTTGAGTTAGACTGTATTAAAATGCCATGTTTCTGTGGTATTAAAGTGCATACCTGTACGTTAAAGTGTATATCTCTATATTAAAGAGTATATCTAGGCATTGGTTGTGTATAGCTGTATATTAAAGTGCATAGACGTATATTAAAGTGTGCGTATCTGTGTGTTAGAGCGTGTACCTGTGTATTAGTGTGTATGTGTATTAAAGTGTGTATATCTATGTATTTTAGTGCGTATATCTGTGTATAGAGTATATGTATCTGTATTGGTCTGTATATCTGTGTATAGAGTATATGTATCTTTATTGGTCTGTATATCTGTGTGCTAACGCGATTTCTCCTGTCGTGTTTTTCGTGCGCGCGCACGCGGCTTCAGTCTCATGAGCCCAATTAAGCGAGTTAAGCGCGAGCAGCTCCGCGAAAACGAGTCTTGTGAAGGAAATTTCCGGAAAAAAGTTCGTGTCATCACTGACCCTTTTTGCATTCAGCTTCTGTGAAAGTTTTTTTCAGGGTTTGATGTTTTTTTTTTTTGAGTCTTGTTGCGCTGCGATCTGTCACAAAAGCATCGACCCTGTTCTGTTTCATTTACGAGACTATTTATACCGCTATTATAAATAATAAGTAAGTAATCGAAAATCGGTGCATCAATTTAGCTCCAAATCAGCTGTTTATCAGAACGGATTTACCAAATTTACCAAAACTAGGCTACACAATTAAATCACGTGTGAGTTCCAGGAGTTGATGAAATAACTGGAGAAATTTAACAAAGCTAATAAAACTGTTTGACTTCTCATACTGGAAACATGTTTAGAGCTGAACCTCAGTCTGCACCTGTTTCGTGTTTTCTCAAAGCCTAAAATTACTTTTCAGGTGAAATAATGACTCGAACTGAAGAACAGTAGGCATTAAAAAAGAAAACCTTGAGAAGTGAAAAAATATCAGAGCCAAAAATCAAGTACTTCGAGAACTTGAGCCGCAGTGGAGCTCAGCCCATCCAGAATCGATCAGCTGGAACGGAAGGTTTTCAGGCTCTGTTCCTCTTTATTCGGCATCATTGTGGTATAAAGTAAAGGTGAGATGTGGAACCAACGGCAAAATCAGTTCAGGTGGAGCCAGAAACAGTAAAAAGAGTGAAAATGATAAAAACGGAAACGTGTCCTTTTCACCAAACAATCAATCAACCTCCCTCCTCCAACCCGCCCCTCTATCTCTCTCTCCCAGCATATGCGGACATGTTCCCCCACAGGCACAGCTCTCCGCTGCCCATCACGATCCCCGGTTGGGATCCGGACACTAACCCGTGGGATGAAGCTCTCTATCCTCCGTTCACGCGCGAGCTCTCACACAGACGCGGTGAGACTTCTATTCCCCTCAGAAATGCTACAGAAGCTCCCGCTATTTACCGTCCCCGCCTCACACGACGTTTTTCTCCTCCTCAGGTAAAGCGCCTCACGTGCGCCTCACGAGCGACAGCCCCGCCATGAACGGCTCGTGCATCACCTTCACCGCCCGGCTCGAGTTCCCCGCGTGCCAGAAAGAAGATCCGAGGGGGAACCTCGTCTACGACGAGCACTGCGAGGACGGTATGGAGGCTTCAGGTGCTTCTCACATGATCTACCAAGATTTAACTCAGGAAAAAAAAGTGCCACCAGCCGCCACACGGAGTTCAGAAAGAACAATAATAAACTCCAGGGTGCTCTTCGGGAGATCAGAAGGCTTTATCATAACTACAGACAAAAGATTTTAAGTTTTAATTTAATTTCACGATTTTAATTCAGTACTCAGATACTTGTCGCGTGAAGACGCGCTAAACAGAGTAACGCTGCCACAGTGCTGCTGCTGCTGATGATGGTGACTGAATTTCTTCGTGAACTTTTTCACAGTGTATTCCTGGTAGTTAAGACTGGTAGTTTATCTCGGTGTAGAGGCTTGTGTTTGACTATTAAGCCTTAAACTAGACTGTTTTCTGTAGAGAAGTATATCGTTAAATGTGTCGTGAAAGTTTAGCTTTCGAGAGGAAAATCGTTTTGAGTGCGGAGTCCGATTTTTCTCGTTAAAACATCGCGGCTGAACTGTCGTAGACTTTAACTGACGAGTGCTAATCGAACAGACTAACGAATAAATGGCGACCAGATAAAGCTATTTGCTGCAAAGCTGTGTTACACTCTTTAAAAAGGATCTTTCTTCACGAGTTCATTAGTAAAGAAAAGGGTTTTATATAGAACCTTTACATAGAATATTTACAGAACCCCATGCGCAATTAAAGGGTTCTTTGCATGGTGAAAGTGTTCTTCGGATTGATGGAGAATGTGCTGTAAATGGATCTATAAAGAACCATTTTGTAAAGGTTCTATGTAGCACCAAAAGGTGTTCTGCTGTTGTTACGACGTCAATTCTGTAACAACAGAAAAACCCTTTATTATATAACCCATTATTTAAAACCCTTTTCATAACAGTTCTATAAAGGACCATCTACAGCGCATTCTCCATCTGAAGAACCCTTTCATGATGCAAAGAACACTTTAATCATGCAAAAGGTTCTTTTGAGTGTTAATGGTTCTATATAGAACCATTTTCTTTACCAAAGAACGCCTGAAGAACCATCTTTTTAAAATATGTACTGTTGCTTCCTTTAGCCCTTAGTCTTGTAGACTAATAGTTAGAGTTCATTATAGTTTAAGAAAATATTAAAAATGCTGATATTGTGTGTTTTAAAACTTTGTAATCGACAATTATGACTTATTATGGCCTACAAAATAATATCCCCAGAGTGAAAATCTATAAACACTGTATGGCTTCATTCAACACTGGAAATTTACATTTTATCACCTTGGTTTTAAACATATAAATTATTATTATTTTATATGTATATATATATATATATATATATATATTATCTGTAATCTGTACTTGAGTTAACTGCAACTAAAAATTGCTTTAAGAAATGTACATTGTATGTCTTCTATACAGAGTCCAATTACAGTGGATCATAAGGACATTAAATTGTAAAGATCTGTACTGAGCTAACCCACTTATATGAATACTCAAATTTATACAATATGCCCAACACTGTTTTTATATGCACACGTTTGCTACAGCCTACGTCTATTTGTATCGACCATACTTTGTTTTATTTATAAAACTATTTATCGCTGCTGATGGAAGAAAAACCTTGTATCTCATAAAACCTCGTTTTGATCATTTTTCAGTCTTCGGCTTAATTTGAAAATGCCTTTTGCTCTTTACATTGTGTGTAAACTTCATGATAAATGGACCAAAAGAAATGACCCAAAATTACTTGGAAAAAATTCTGGTTCCATTGACTTACATTAAAAGTGAAGTATGTTTTTTTTCCTTTTCCTCTAAAGTTACCAATTTGGAGATACGAGGTTTCTTTCAACAACAGCGTTATACCTGTATAGCGTTTGATGGTGACTGGAAGGAATGCAGACTAAGAATTTCATTGTGCAGCATACTGTTTTACTGGACATATGACAATAAAATCTTAAATATTGAATTAATAGCCCTCCTGAACATAACCACATGCTTCTCTTATGGGGTCAGCCAATGGGCAGGTGCAGACTGGATATGTCTTCAATTGGACTTCCTGGTTGGATGATTATGGCTTTGGAAAGTGTATGGATCTGAAGCGTTGTAATGTGTTCCCTGATGGCAAGCCATTTCCACAACACAATGACTGGAGGCGGAGGGGCTATGTCTATGTGTGGCATACCATAGGTAAGAGCACAGACGGTGGTCCGTTGTTCATATAATTGTTTTTCGTACCTACATGTTCCACTATCACACCTAATATTTGTTCTTTCTTTCCATCTCTCAGGTCAGTATTTTGAGACGTGTGATGGCTCTTCCTCCAGTTTGACGCTCAATACCACTAACTGGACATTTGGAGCTGGCGTCATGGAGGTCATGGTGTACCGTAAGCGTGAGCGCAGGAAGTACAGTCCCCTCTCCACTGATAACACTGTGTTCTTCGTCACAAGTAAGTGGCTCAAACCACGCCGTGGCACATACTCAAAGCAAGATTAGAAACATGTGAATGTGACTAATGCCTGGCCCACACCACAGGATAATCAGGCCAATTTCGAGGCCAATTCACCCCTCGCTATGGTCGCAAATGATGTGTTGATTTCAGGCAGGTCTTAATCAATTATCTTTCCAGATTATCCTGTGCTATGGAATATGTTGAAACCTATCTTTACCCTTCTGATCTACTCACAGTCCATTGGTGGCCTCTCCGATTCTGTATAGTTGATATTACACATGTTCAGTACTTACGATTCAGCATCCTGTAGTGTGCAGGGAATGCTGATTCTCTCACTTGAAACACAGTGTTGACGTCATGCATGAAAAACTGTTAACCAATGAGAGCAGAGCTAAATGGAAGGATAAAAATGATTTTGACATTGTTAAAAACATATTTTCTTTCAGTTTTATGCTGCCAAACCAGCAAACTAATCCTCGTTCATCTTCCATGTGTGTGTTTGATCTAATGTCATGTTTAATCACAAGAAATTCTGATCTCAAGGTTCTGAGAGACATCCTGTAGTGTTGTTCAGGCCCTTTCTTTTTTTGTCAATAACAATATATTCGATATAATAGGTTATATTAGCTTTCTTGTTCTGCATTTGGAACAATTAATTTGGACCTACTTCAGAGAAACTTTCTTGAAAACTGCAAACCATTTATCATGTTAATTTCTTCCATCAGCATAGTCATCACCGGTACCACAAGTTCCAGTTGCATGCACCAGGCCAGAAGAGGTCACAAGTAACAGCTGGGATACAAAACTCGGAGCCTTAAAACTCAGCTGTGTGCTCTCTCTCTCTCTTCATACAGATAAGATCCCTCTGGCTGTGAATATTTCGCAGAAGGAAGCGGTGAACATCACAGAGAAGAATGCCTTTTTTAAGGGGTTAGACATCATCTTTAAGGTACAGATTCATGACCCAAGCAACTACCTGAAGACTGCGGATTCAGTTGATTTTATATGGGACTTCCGGGATGGCAACCAGTTGGTCACCCATAGCAACGTGGCAACCCATGCCTACAGTACACTCGGCAACGTCACAGTGAAGCTTCTAGTGGAGGCAGCATTCCGCACCCCATGTCCTCCGCCCACTCCGACGCCCATGCACTTCACACAGCCATATACTACAGGTAACATATACATACACAGACGTCAAAATGTTAAGTCAAGGTTAAGGTCACATTACTAACAGTATCAACAGCTTTATATATTGAGTTGATCCAAAACAATTTTAATAAGTCATTAACCTGTTGCCCTGTTTTTCTCATGACAGCAGTGGCCACGCCCCCACCACGTACTCGGTCCACCACTGCCAAACTGGAGACCACCAAGGGTGAGACACAGATCATATGCCTGACTGCTTGTGTATTTATTTAAATGAAAAAGCTAAAAACAAAGAAAAGATGTCAATAAGCTTAAATTTCTCGGTTCTTTCACTTTTAGCTCCAATTGTTACCACTCCATCCCTCACCACTGCCCAGCATATTCCAGTGACAACCAACATCCCCTCAACTGAGCCTTTCCCTACTGATCCTGAGGTGAACACTAGCACTAATCCAGGGATCAGCTCCACCAGTGCCGAGCCCACACTCCCGTCCATGCTGCGGCATTCACACTTCACACAATCTGAGTGTTTCCGCTACATGTACGGAAACTTTGAAAACGAAATCAACATAATTGGTAAGTAATAATTTAAATGTATTTACACACATTCATGTTTTATACAGTTCTGTGCAAAAGTCAGAGACCACCCTTGATTTATTTAATTTCCAGTCAAACAACTCTTAGTGATTTTCAGCATCAGTAAAACAGACCAGGCAAATTTCTTTCTTTTTTTTTCTGTTTGCTTTTCTCAGTAATGGCTTCTTAACAGCTACAATCCTTTTACAGTTAGTGTTGAATTCTCTTCCTTTTTGGAAGGATTTTTTAAGATCTGTAGCAAGAGTGGACTTTGATTTTCTTCTGTCTCTCAAAGATGAAAGCATTTAGTTAGTTTATCTGATGGAGACAGTTTTGGTGGCCTACAAGGTCTTGCGTGATTATTAGGCGTCCCATTTTCCTTTGTCATTTGTCACTGTCATACTAATTTTTTTTGAGTTTTGCAAACTCCTGTTTTTTTTACCTGTTTTTCTTTGAAATTTTCCTTTCTTATGCAAGTGGATTATCTTGTGTATCATCAAAATTATCTCCTGAAAAATGAATAACTTATTCATAATGGCCATTTTCACCGGAAATCAAATAAATAAAGGTATAGTCTCTGACCTTTACAAAACTTGCAGTATTGTACAATAATGCTGTAGTATACTGTAGTTTCTGTTAAAACTTTGTTACAATTTCGTTTTTCATTTCTAAGATTTGTTATGAAGTGCTCACACCTATGAGAATAGAAATTAAGTCAAGTGGTCATCATTATCCTTAATATAACTAGAATGAAATTTTGTTCTTCGTGCCCAATAGTCCTGCGATGGACTGGCGACCTGTTCAGGTGTATCCTGCTTTTCGCCCAATGACCGCTGGGATAGGCTCCAGCAACCTCCCGCAACCCAGAGTAATAAGCAGTTTAGGAAATGTGTGTGTGTGTACCCCATGGTGCAACACACAAGAGCAGCACATTACACAGGACTACACAAATTGCAGATACACAAAAGTGTGAAGCAAGTGCCGGATATACAATAAATACACAAGACAATAAATGAACAGAACAATAAATATACATGACAAATACAAATGATGCAACCAGGACAGCAAAACAGTAGACATGAGTTGGGGTCCCATTGCAGCATTCAGAGGTTACAATTTAAAGAATTTTTAGTGCAGGTATGCAGCGATGGTTAAGGGGTGCTTAATCAGTCTAAATCAGTGCGTTCAGTAGTCTGTTTGCCTCAGGGTAGAAGCTGTTGCAGAGTCTAGTGGTTGTGGTCTGCCAGATGGCAGAAGGGTGAAGAGTCCATGAGATTGGCGGGAGGGGTCATCCACAATGCTACTGGCCTTAGCAATGCAGCGCATGTAGTAGGTGTTGATGGTGGGTAAAGACACTCTGATGATCTTCTCAGTGGTTCTTACAATCTACTGTAGGGTCTTTCGGTGCAATTCCCATACAGCTTGTCAGGACATTCTCTGTTGTCCCCCTGTAGGATGTAGTGAGGATGCAAAGCAGGTGCAGGTTTGCTCTCTTCATCCTCTGCAAAAAGTGAAGTCACTGCTGGGCTTTCTCAGTTAGGTGGTTGGAGTTAAGGGTCCAAGTGAGGTCATTGGTGATGTGCACACCAAGGAACTTGGGACTCTCAACAGGACTCTCCTTGGTGCGCAGTGGAGAGTAATCATCACGGTTCCTCCTTAAGTCTATGATCATCTCTTTCGTCTTTCTTTTTGTGATTCCAAGGAAATCTCACCTCAGTATTTTGTTGTTTGTTGTGCCAGAACCTCATCCTTCTCTGCGCAGCTTGCCACCAAATCGAATTGTAGAAGTGTCTGCTGCCAAGGTGACCAACACCACTGTGAACTTTTTAGTGACATGTTCAGGCAGGTAAGCAGTGCACACATACACAACCACACATATTACTGACATGTAATACGAATGAACGGATCAAAAACAGTTGATCAGTATGTACAGTGTTCACATAAAACACTTAAATTGCATTAGTGTAATATTTTTAACATTCAACCTGAGTAACATGTCCTTATCTACCTGGTCCAGTATCCCTACTTCAGCTTGCACCACTGTTGCTGACTCTACTTGCCGCCAGGTGATGAGCATCATATGTGATGATGTGCATCCATCTGATGACGGTTGTCAGGTCAGCCTGAAGCGTACATTCCAAGAGCCAGGTACCTACTGTGTCAACATCACTTTAGGGGTGCCTGGCGGCTTGGCACTTGCTACCACCACCGTAACCATAGGCAACAGTCCTGACAAAGGTATGTAATGGGATTTGTTGAGTTTTATGCAGGCCTACTCTAATCAAAAGTAAGATCACCAGTGTCGACTGAAGCAGAAATAGCAACCTGCTCTTTTACAGATGAAATAAAAAAAAGCACATGGAACATGGTTTTGGTTAGAAGTAACAAACAGTCACTGAACTGCCCTCACCTGATGAAAGTGCTAATGAGAACAAGGAAATTCAGGATTATGTTTGCTGGTAAGCCCCTGCAATCTTAATCTTTTTCTCCTGTAGACATGACTAAGTCTCCTCGTGTGGCTGAGGTGGTGTTGTCCTCTACCACTGTGCTAGTGGCCATCTTTGCCTTCATCGCCTTCATGGTGTACAAGTAAGTGCAAACGTATAGACCCAACACTCTAAAACCTTGAACAGTGCTTAAGTTTTGTTTATTGTTCAAGTTTTTCATATTTATGAGCAGGTTAGGCAAAGTCTGTTCAGTTATCTGGTATCTTTATTCCTCTGATTTTCTCGCAGGCGCTACAAGGTTTATCGTCCAGTGAGGCGATCCATGCTGGAGGACGCTGAGGGAGGCAGTGCAGTCAGCAGTCCTCTGAGCAAACTGAGGGCAGCACTGTTCCCAGCCAACGAAGAGAGAAGCCACCTGTTGACAGACAGGCGCTTGTGAGCACACTACAATGCCTGCAATGCACTGCGTGAATACTTGAGAATATCTGTTTGTTTTCTGCTTTCAGTGAGGAAGAAGGAAAAAAGAAGAAAACAGCACCTCAGCTATCTCTACCTAGTAAATATACAGAAACTTGACTAATTATTATTGGATAAATCTGTTCAATATAACACAGGCTTAGTCTGCTATATGTTGTTTCAGCCTAGCTAAAACTACAGTGTTAAAGTTTGTAAACTTCAATAGGGATGATAGTTTGAAATAGGGAAGGACTTGCATTTCATGAGATTTGTTTTTGATGGATCATTTATGGTACACTTTGAAGGGCTGGATAATCTAAGATTAATCATTTTTCGAACTAGTTATTTTTGTATTTTTTCCTCATTTATAAATGTTTTTGTCTGGGACTTATACTAAAAATAACTATACTCAACTGAAAATTTGATATGTTCATATTTAAGTGAAAATTTCCCAAAGCTTCAGAATTTTGTGAGTTTTTTTCCCCCACTAATAATCAGAGCCCAGTTTAAATGTGACTAACATTAATATTACTGGAAAAATAATTCTAATAAAACATCAAAACCAGCGTTTGCTATTCTGTTAAATCCTTTGGAAGAAATTAATCCCGCGGTCATTTTCCCCTCATGAGATCGAAGTCGAGCCAGTTGACCCAATATAATACTAGCAACTGAGGTAAAGAAGCTTCAAGAATAAAAGATCATTTCTACTGCTTGATTAGCACCTTGTAATACTTTAGCATGATAAACAGACCATGTTTTATACAGAACTCAATGATGTCATTAATGCCACAGGCTTCCAGTCGTACTCTTGCACAGGAGTCAAGTTTTCTTTACTTTAATAGACCTTGAACTCAGAGAGCCGAGCTATGCAATAATACAACTGAACTGCAGGGGTACTCCAAGACTGTGACCAGAGAGCCCACAGTCCCTACTGCCTTCTCACTAAAATGTCTCACTGGTTCTGGCACACAAGTGGCAGATTTGACTTGTTTGCATCATGGAGCCACATGTAAGAGCAGTTAAAATGATATATAAAATTACACGAATGCTACACAACCTAACCACAATGAACATATCTACATCACATAGAAAGTGTTCACTACAGCATAAATTGAAATGAGTACAGTATTATGCAAATGTTTTAGGCACCTAAGCACATTATTTCAAGCCATTTATCTTGGCAATATGTATTTTTTTTGGCTTGTAAAAACAAGCAAACAGAATAAATACAAATGAACAGGAAAAAATAACGATTTCCGCCCCCCCCCCAAAAAAGTAGACATGAGCTAGTCTGAAGAACAAGGTCTGGTTCCAGATTTCTGCTCATTGTCACACTGACAACCAAAATCACTACCTAAATGTATTGATGTTATTAATTCTAATCTCAGTGTTTTTCTGAGCAAATGAACAGCTTTGGAATTTTCTCAGGTGCCTAAAACTGTATATGAAACTCACTTATATCAATAAATGAAGAGCCACAAACACCAACTGCTAGGAGCCAAGTTGACTTTTTTAATTCATTTTTTCAGAGGCATTTGACAAGTGGAGGTGTGTGAGGGCGCACGAGCACGGTCGGAGGGTTTGTTGCTCATCATGCTGAAATCGGACCATTTTCCTGAAACTCCACATCACGTTCCCACTGAAACACGACTCACCACACAACACAGCCAAGAAATCGGATCAGATCTCAGTCAAAAAGGGGGGGGAGAAAAAAAAGAGTAGCATCCTTTAAGACAAGTAATGGGGAGAAAAACTGACTCAGTCCATAAATCAGAAAGAAGGCAGGCCCATCTTAAAGGGGGGGAAAAAAAAAAAAAACACAACAAACTCCATTATGAATCAGATCCCAAATTAACAATGTCTTGATATAATACCTAAGCATGAAGTAAAGCCCAATACACTGAAGCCACACCACCAAAACCAAGAAGCAGAAAAAAGCAACAAGTTGAGGTTTAAGTCAGTTATCAGAGAAACACAATGCAGGCAAAATGAAATACCTTAAATCACTCGTTTTTCAAATCTAAGCATACATGATTTTTTTATTTATTTATCTCATTTTTTCTGTAGGGAAAGGAGCTGAGCGCTGTGACCCTAGATTCTAACAAATAGTAATATGCCTCTAATTCAAATACATGTCTAAGAGGTAGATCAAACATGGTGTAGGAGGGGGGGGGGAAAATAAAATAAAAATCACTTGTGCCCCTCCTGTCAGCGCAAGGCGCGATGCACAGACCCAATGCAGAAGACAAGTGCTCGCGAGGGACTTGAGGTATCGCTGCGCGCGCTTGAGGTGTGGATGGAGGCGTAAGCTTTACCACCACCCACCCTTGACTCAGCTGAGGTAGACGTTCTTACTAGTGTGGAAGCATGAATACACTCTTACCACAATCAAATCATATTTACATTCGGCATGAAAACAAAAGGAATATAGTCTCTCATTAGTTTAACTTCTCCATTTATCTTGTGAAAAGGTTCATAATCTATTTTAGTTATTTATTTTTTTTGCTTTTGCCATTTTGAAATGATGAACAAAAAAATTAAACTGTTCACTTCCATTTCTACATAACTGCTGGTTATACAGACGCATCCATTAATATTGTAATGTGTAGCAAAACTCAATAGCATTTGAACAGTGTGACTCCCCAACCCTCACCATGCAGTGACTGACACTCAACACGGATATTAGCAGTGTGTGAAAGCCTGGTGTGATGGAGCCCAGCCCACAATACAAGAAATTAAGAAAGAAAGAAAATTCAGCCTCCCAAGACCTGAAGTGCACCATCCTGGGAAAGAAGAGAGTGAGGGGAAAAATAACCCACAACTCATACGCACCACAAAGGGCTGGACTGTTAATCTGTTAAACAAGTAAGTGCGTTGAGGAGGATAAAGGAGCACCAGAGAGGTTACAGCAGGACATAAATCGTTATCCCTGACCTCTAATGCTAGCCTCCGTCACTCCTTAAACGCTAATGAAACATACGCAAGAAATGTACCAGCCAAAACGTTAATAGTATTTGCTAAACTAAACGGCATTGCTGCAGTATGTACTGTTGGCATTATTCGGCATCTATATCTTACTTTTTGATGTTTTCAGTGGATGGTGGCTCCTCAGCAACACTGAGGCGCTTTTCTTTTGATACTCCCATCTGCAGCCAACAGCGACATGCCTAAACCCCACTCATACCCAGATGCACAGACATTCTTATGTACAGTTATTCATTGTCTGCAGCATAACAAAAGTGGGGGTTAGGGATTCGCACGTTAGCAACAGACCAAATTTTCTTAAAAAAATAAAAATGTTCAAGAACTATTAGCTTTATAAAGTATACAAAATACCACAAAGCAAAATAAAAAAAAAGAAAGGAACATTTTTTTTTTATATATATATATAATCTTTTTCTGAGGTACTCTAGCCTGAGGTAGATCAGTAAAATGCATATTAACTTTGTTTCCTGGCCAACACCAATCAACACTTCCCTCAGTCATAAGTGGCAGTGTTGCTCCGCCTTCTTTCATAATCTTTATATATATATATATATATATATATATATATATATATATATATATATACACATACATACATATATATATACATATATATATACATATATATATACATACATATATATATATATATATATATATATATATATATATATATATATATATATATATATATATATATATATATATATATTTTTATCTCCTTTATAAAATGCATCCGAATTTATAAAATGCCACTATCAATACTGGGACAAAACACTTCCAACTCTTCCATGTTCAGTCCCATCCCAAATCTAGAGCCCTTAGGCCCCACCCCTAGCCCCGCCCACCCCTAGCCAGGCTAGGAGAGCAATGCCTTTATACTTTTACATGGAAAAACTCAACCAATTAACCAAAAGTACAGAATGAAAAATCAATAGTAATGTAGTATTGTGCAGTTACCACACTAGGGCAGTGAAGGGGAGACTATTTTTCATAGCCGTGATTTCTCCTCATGTTTAGAACAAAAGAAAAACAAAAATGTGCGATTGAGAATACATTCTCACAGAAACGCCGGAAGGTGGGGGGGGTGTCATATAGGTGGGGTGTTCGGGCACAACCCATGACCCCTGAGATGGGCATGTCCCATATCCCGATCGTCTCCGTGAAGACGTGGTGGCTCTATTTCCTCCGGGCCATTGGTGGGCCTGTGGGCGAGGCCTTGGGCTGCTGCTGCCGCCTCACCTGAGAAAGAATCTCCTGAATCTTTCGCTGAGCCATCTATAAAAACAGATTGAGAGATCTGCATGTCAAAACATTTTGGATACCGCAACTGAAATGAAACAATCAGCCCATCAGCTGCTACGTTACCTGGCTTGCATAGAAGTGGCCAGTAATCTTTACTACCACTTGGTCATTTTCATCAGGTGTCTGATCCCTTGGGACAACCACCTCTGCACTGGTCAGATTCTGCAGTTCATTCACCTAGACAGAAATATTAAATGACTCATTACGGTAAGCAGTGGAACTTTATTATAGTACCAAATCAACACAAAGTTTTCTTTTGAAGCACTTGTAGGTCTGTTGAACAGTATTCTCTGCCTCCCCTCTATGTTTTTATTGGATGACTTCAGCTAATTAAACTGTTAATATGAAAAGTCAGTTGATAATAGGATAAGTGTTTATCATGGGCAGTTCCTTTAAGCCCAGTAGCAGCTGATGAATATCACGACTGAGTGAAGAACATCTCATTTGGTAAACACGTTTGGGGTCGATTTCATCTGCCCTGACATCTTTGCATCTCTTCCTTATGTCCTCGGTTCTGTACGCAGTCCATTCAATAAGGCTGATTAATAAAGAAGAACTCTATCAAAATTCATATGTTACCAATACCGCAAGCACAGCAGTAGGCTGTTTAAAGGGCTTAGTACCTTGGCTATGATGGCCTGCAACCCACTAAAGTAAAGTTTCAGACGTTTTAAACAGTTTAGTAAGACATCCTAGTAAGTTTAGAGTGTAATAATACTGCTGAACAACCAACAAATTTAAAAAGCATCTCAGGGCCATGACAGATAAAATTAAATGTATTACATAAGAGTTTCTCATTTTGAAGTGGAACATTTAATCCTCAATATCTCAAAATGGCACTGAACTTAATCTAAGCCCACAAATCACCCTCCCAGTTTAGAGACAGGTCCCTTTAACTTTCATGATGCTTGTTTATTTTCAGCCTCAACTTTATAAACTCAAGCATCTAACAATACATAATTAAATACTAAATATATAAAATGAATAAATTCATCAATGTAATAACAGATAGCAGCACTGCTGGGTGTTTAGACTGTCCGTATGAAATGTCAGCAGTGGCTCCCCACTAAACAATGACGCAAACACTACTACACAGGTAGATGAATTCAAAAACATCTGCTACTTTTTATCCAGAAGATCAAAAAAAAAAGATTTGAGTTCTGTGCACACACAGACAGGCAAACAAAAGATGTCACCGTGTATTTGGATACTACACCAAACATACCACCATGATCAAAATTTGGTCAGCATATCTAAGTGTTCGGTTTCTGTAAAT